CTCTTGTGGAGGCGTTTTAGTTACCTCTCGAATTGGTGCCTTCATAGCTGTTGTAGAAAGAACCTCGAGTGATGCAACATAGATTGCCCCCACATTGTGAGTAATCTGCTTAACAGGATTAGGTGGAGGGACTTGTTGGAGTGGCTGAGGACCGCCGTTGAGGGGCTGTTGAGCAGATTGCTGCGTATTGTTTCTTGGTGTCCAGTTATTCCCCCGATTATCCATTCGAGGGCCGCAAGAGTTCTTCTTTGGAAAGTTATAAGATCCCGCGAACTTTTCTCCCTTTTGTCGAGAAGCAGTGTGTACATATTGTTCAAATTTTCTAGACTTTACTCCTGCCTTGATTTCTCGTTTCAACTCCCTACAATCTTCAGTGTCATGGCCGTGGTCCTTATGATACTCACACTACTGGTCCGTGTACCTATTAGGATTGGGAGCCAGGGGCTTTGGAATAGGGAGCTCATCCTTGTAGAGGATTTTTCGTCGAGGCTTTAACAGTGGAGTCAGTTGTCTGTCGAGCTCAGGACGTGCCGGTTTGGCTTCTATTGTAGATTTGAGCATGTCCCTTCCGCCTTGATCTTCTGCTATCGAGAAGGATTCCTGTGAGCGTTTAAGTGTCTGTTCTCGCTGGATGTAACTTTCCACCGTGACCCACATCTCCTGCGTACTCTAAGGAGGTTTGGTAGATAGTTTCACCCATAAAGTAGCAGATTTCCGGAATGGGTTAAGACCCTGAATAAACTCGTTTCGCACATCTCTGTCATTGAGGCAATCAACTTAGAGGGTTTCTCGGATGAAGCGACTGTGGAAATCAAAAAGGCTCTCATTTTGTCATTGTTTAATCGAGGAAAGGTCGATTGACATTTTTGTAATCTGCTTGCTTGGAAAGAAGCATGTAGCCAACTTACTGACAAGTCCTCTAAACTGGTAATACTTGCTTCTAGCAACTGCCCAAACCACCGTTGTGCCTTTCCAGTGAGATAGGATGGAAGGGCTTTAGCCATGAAATCAAGTGATGCATTTCGGATTCTTATGACTTAGACATATCCATGCAAGAATTGCTATGGGTCGGAGTCTCCTGAGTACTTTTCAAAATCCTTGGGGAAGTCAAAGTCCAGGGGTTTTGGACAGCCTCAAATCCTTGGTACGAATGGACTTTTGTCGACAATCATCCCTATCATTCTTCTCATTGATTCTCGAATAGACAAGTTCTGATTGCCATATTCCCCCTGACGTCTAGGGACATAAGGTTCTTCTTGGGGGCACCACGCAGTATGTCGAGGTTGAGGAGACCGTCGTGGGCCATAATGGTTGTCTTGGTAATGACCTCCACGAGAATAATCTGTACCTTGAAGAGGTGCTCGATATTCGTCTTCATTATCAAGATGGGATCTTTCCACCGGAACTCTGGGTCCCGGACGAGAGTGCACGTTAGCTTTTGGGGGATTCCAGTCTTTCCAGACACCATCTCAATACTAGGTGAGTTGCGGCGATGATAGGTATGAGACTGTTTCCTGCGTTGTCGCTCTTTGGCATACTCCTCGAGTGCTATTGGGAATGTAGGGTACGCTCATTCAAAGGAACCCCAGAAGGCTGTGCTACGACCAATTGAACGTTCTTATCGAGAGATTGCACGGTCAGGGATCTCCCTATTGCCGCTCTCGGTTTCCTAGCTTGGGACTTTGCGTTTGCCTTTCTTCTTCTCGAGCAAAGCCAATGTCCTGCGTGCCTCTTTTTCGTCGATTAAATCTTGCAACTCTTGGTCTGTTGGGTCAGGTTGACGGAGCAAACAACGGCGCCGGTATTCTTCCAACATGTACTTCTTCTTCCTCCGATTGAGGATGTTATCGTCTCGCAACTTTTTGAGTTTTGCTTCAATTTCGGCCAACCGTGCTTTATCGTGTGGACTGGATGCTTTGTGATGATTGTTAGGGTTCTCCTCCCTTTCCTCCCCCGGGATTAGATGGTCTTGTGGGAGTTTTTTCTTTTTTTTACTGGCGGGTGTTCTTCTTTCGCCTGTGCTTCTCCTCGAATTTCGCCAGGGTTTCGTTGTTATCCGGACTTGGTCGCCTGCCTGTTGACGCCGAGCTGGATTGGGGCTTGTCGATTACCGCCATCTTTTTTGGGGGTGAACCCTAATTTGCTATGGTGGTCGACGGTTGAGAAATTCTAAAAAAGCTTGAGAAAGCTTTGTGACACAAACCCTAGTTTTCATGTCCCACTGGGCGTGTCATTTGACGAACCCTGGAATTGTGACTCCGGTTGATCTGTGGAAGTCCACTTAGGGTTTCCTGCAAAAGAGGGCCTCAGGCGCCTCCCGAGGGTAGACACTCCGATGCTTAAGTTTGAAATAGGGTTATAGAGAAGTGTGTATATGATTATTGGAGCTAGAGATAGTGTACCTCAATTATAGAGTAATCATCCCTATTTATAGACCTAGAAAATGTCCAAATCTCACTAGGTTTAGCACCCTTGCACCGCCTCCACAGAGTCGGTTGGACTCTGGACTCGGTGAATGAGCCGGTCCAATGTAAGTGGTGGATATGGACTCGTCAGTGAAATAACTCGCGAAACCATGACATATGACATATTATTAATCCCCAAATATACCTCTAATAGTCTAAATTAAAAGTACAGTTTAATGAATAAAAATCATTTTGGACACTATTATTAGGGAACAGAAATTTTAAGCGTACCAAATATGAACGAAATACGGATTTGATTATGACGGCAGCTTGCGATTTTGCATAGTAGCAAATGGCGCAATATTACTATTTCTACCCTTAACTTCATTGCAAGATTTCACAAGTACATGAGCTTTAATCCGAATCTGTTTGATTTCGTGCTCCTCCAAGACTTGCTTTACTAACCAGACTGTCGAAATCGAATCGAATGATCAATTACGCTACGTGATTTTGTTTGTAGTCGTGCTTCCAGATAGAAACAACAATTTTTCCAGGTTTCTCATAACTCATTGAATGCCTAGGATATGGGACCAAAGCTTTCATCATAGCGAGCTTAATTAAGATCGTATTGATATCAAATTTCCGAAAAGTATCGACTATCGATCATGTACACACAATGGCAATTCATAAATCTAAAAAATCATTGCGACAACAATAATGAATGAGATTCCTAGATAACACACATTAACGGATTTCCGGAGTGGAAGTTCCAGATGAATGCGTGTTTTTAGAATGTAATGCTAAAAGATAAAATCGAGGCAATAATACTCTCCCTTAGTCCCAGAAAAATAGCTCAACAAATTTTCAACTACAACAGTGGACGGGGGAAGCATTTTACAACAGACTTGACCCACCAACCACATCAGAAGTTTCAAATGAATCTCTCATTCGTTTGGTATGACTATATCGAGTTGCAGATTAACAACTAACATAATGAGGTTAATTTGGCAACCAACAAATCGTATAAATCTTCATAGCTAATATCCAACCAGCAACAAGTGCTAGGAAACTGGATTCTTGTTTTTAATGACTCAATAATTGAGGACTCAATATAAGAACAGAAAATAGAATAAGTATATACAATAAAAGAGAGTAGTATCCACGGAAACACTATAAAATTTCTTGTTCATAATTTAACATGAAAAATGCAGGAGATTATTTGAATTTGTGCAAAAAGAATAAAGAGAATATGACAGAAAATCAACTACTAATCAGATTACATCAATATTTGACTAGGACCTTAGACCCAAGAATCTTCTTCAATCCTTTTTCCTTATCGGCAAACAACTGTGTTTGGGATCAATAAGTGATCAGTAAGTGGACTTGAATGGCTTGAAAACTTTTAGATCATTAACGATTCCAGCGAACGAACCCACTGCAGCAGCTATTGAAACGATCAAGCAAACAACACTCAATGCCTGGAGACATAACCATTTTGCGCCCCACTTTGGTACCTTCTTCTGCTTGATGTACATTTCAACCGGATAGTAAACAGTGAGAGGCCAGAATCCTAATGCTCCAAGAATACCAACCACATCATTGGAAAATGGCAAAATCATACCACCACGGAGAAAATGACAAATGTTGTGCACCAAATTAACCGGAAGAAATTGAGTTTGTCTGATGACTTGAATCCAAATATTGGGATATCAATGTCCTGGGAGATAAACTTATTATGTGGGAACCATTCTGCCGCGGTTTTTTCAACAAATGCAAAAACGGGCTGGCTGAAGACTTGATATGCACCAACAAGATGAACAACAATCGCCAAATTTGCAATATCAACAAGCTAGTATGGGTTGTAGAAGCCGAAACCAGTTAAGAAATTTCCAGGAGAAAGGTCTCCAAATGCAGCATAACCAATGCAACCGCACAGCATGTAGAAAAATGTAGTTACTTCCACACTAAAAAAGTGGTCCTCTTCATTGTTTTGTGTTCGGAAGGTGGAGCTTTGATGGTATCTTCGATCTCAATTAAGATGAAGGAGTAAGAATAAGCAAAAGCTATTGCGCCAAAAGCTTGGAAGATTCTCCATGTTTTGTCAATTGGTGTTACGATTCCAATGCTTATTCCGGTAAGACTTCCTTTGATGTTACCGGATTCCGCAACTATTCCCATTCCAAGGCCGAGGCCAATTGTGGAGTAGGCAAAAGACATCACCGCAGCAACAATGGAAAGCCACCATATTCGATCGAAATCCGGGATTTGGGAGAAAAAGATTTGTGCAACACCAAACATGATCATGTAAAGATTTCCTGAAACTTTGCAAGGGTCTTTTTGATGACTGGAGCGAAAGCAGGTGGATTTTTGGATCGCCACCATCTTACTGAAGCTCCAATAGTGTAACCAATGGCTGTTCCAACAAGGTTGAGGTACTGAAGGGCTCCACAAAGTTTGACTTGGAACCCTCCAAAATTTGAACTCACGGCATCCATGTTTGTGTAGTTTCTTTTTCCGTCCACAGTCCGGTAACAAGACGAGAGTAGAATGGATGTATAGTAGGTAACAATGGCAAACAACAGCATCACGAGTGGACTAACGATCCAACCCAGCTGCTCTATGGCCCAAGCCAATGACAAAACTCCCGAACCAATTACTGCGGGTATTAGCACTATTAGTCCAAAACGTCCCAGTTCTCTTCAGCCTTCCATCATCATCAAAATATTTTGAAACTGATTCTGAAGAAGGCAGCGGCATATCCACTGAGACATGATCGATTCCTTTTGAAGAAGGTGGCGGCATATTCACTGAGATGTGATCAATTCCTTGAGAAGAACCTTTCACCAAAGAAGAAGAAGAAGAGCGCACCAGCAGCAATGATGAGTTTGTAGTAGCAACCTCCGGATCAGCAGCCATTTTTTCGTTTCCGCAGAGGTAATCAAAATGCGATTCCTTGCTAGATCTTTTCGGATTCTTCAAACGCAGCCAACGGACGTTGCTTTCTTACTGTTCTCGCGCGCGCTTCTACCTTTGTATTAAACTGCTTGAGTTGTTGATTACAAAGTAATTATAATTGGGTGGCTCTATCTATATTTATAGACCTGGTGACTTGCTTGCCCAATTATTGGATTCCATCACTTTTAGTTTCCTAATTTGATTTTCTAGCCGTCCTTCCTTTCCCTCTCACCAACTTTGTGACGCTTTTATTGAATTATTGGATTGTGTTGTTGAATGGATCACCAACGTTTTCCTTGTCTTGTCTCTCTATATAGAACCCTAGTAGCCTCCTTCAAGGTCTGATATATGTTTTTGGGGCGTACATAGGGTTTTTATTGTGAAAAATCGCAACCCTAGTTCTTGTTGAAATTTGCATAAAAATAGGGATGCATCACTTCATAGAGTGACGTGTCTCACTTTGAGAGTGGTCTGGAAAACTCACTTCTCACTGTGTGGAGTGTCTCTGTCGCTCTGTAGAGTGGTGCAGAAAGAAAATTAACAGCTCTCGGTTGCTTTTCTCCTCTGAATCACTCCATGGAGTGGTTCTCTTCACTCTGCGGAGTGCTTGGTAATTTCATCAACTTTTCTTCAAGTGTATAAGTTATCCTTTCATGATCTTTCAAACTCATTTTGCTCATATTAATTATGTAAAAGAGATAACAAATAAACCATATTAGGTAGTAGAAAATTCATCTAAAATTACACACTTTAGAGCAACCTCAACTCTATTAACGAAGTGTTTTGTATGTAAATTACGTTATTATCACGTATTCTCCTCAGCTAAACCCTAAGCTTTCTATACTAAGCTACGCGTCCTTTTCCCCCTCTTTCTAAATGACCATCGCTTCTATTTTTATACATAGCAACACCTTGTAATTGTCGTTAAGGTTCATCCACGTACGCCAGCTATTAGGAGGATCCTGATCGTGATTTTTCTGCTTGGCCCTTCAGACGTGATTCCAACTACTGTAATTTGTCATTTTGCTTGTGTTTCAGGAGCACAATAGCTATTTAGGATGGTTCTTCCTTGCTCACTGTAGTTTTGCTCCAAAGGGATAAGAATGGAGGCAAGGAAATAGTCCCGAAGTTGTCTCCTTGCCGCAGCTTTCCTCTGAAGCGGTCTTGCAGAATGTCCCCTGGATTTTGCTTTCAGTACAATAGCCAAACTTCTGCTTTTTTGCAATTTTTACCCACAAATTTGACCATTTAATTTTATGATTAGGTCCCTAATCAGTGGAAAGTATAAAAGTTAGTTATAAGTATACAAATTCTATCTAATTTCTACTATATTAAAGGGAAAAGTGATTAAAAGTAATGTATATAACTATGCAAATTTGACACTCATCAATTATTTCCTGAAATCTTGCAACTTCTGTTAATATTTGGAGGTGACACAAACTTTAGGTGTTTCCACATGAACTTTTGAATTATAAGTAGAAAGTCTTATCATTATTTGATAAACATATGGATCCAATAAATATGACTCAACTTAACGCGGTAGGATAAAAATTATTTTTGAAATTACTAAAATTAGGAGAGTGCCCTGGATTTTAATAAATAAATAAAAGAAAAGGTAGCATAAAAATTGTTAAATTTGAATGCAAATGATTAAAATTCTTATTCTCCCATCACAAAATGAGTAAGAAAATCGATACGAGAGTAACAATTTTGATCATTTGCATTCAAAGTTTTGACACCTCTACCTCCTTTCCCTTCCAAATCCAATCCCAATAAATTATTTCTTCCTCATTAATTATCAAATAGTTTAATTTTAGTTCTATTCATCTTCTCGTTCCTATATCCTTTAAAATAAAGGAGATTAAACCCAAGAGTTTCTTCAGTAGATCATGATCATATCGATTGAGGGTAGGGAACTTTCTACTGTAGTATTCTTCGAATAGATTATATTTTATTGGATCAGTTAGGGTATTCGTCTATAGCGTTCGTGATGTTCTTGGTAATGGCTTTGTTGCCTGCAATGTTCATAATGTTCTTGTTGATGTTTATGGGCTAGTTGTGCACCGACCAAGAAGATCCAGTCTCATAAATTAGAGTTTTCATATGATAATTAGCGATATATCTTTAATCATATTTTTAAATTCTAGTATGTGACATGTCCATTGTTGACTTTAATAGATCTGTATAAGGTTTTTCCAATGCGGACACAAAAATATGATTTTAATGGTCATCTGCTGTAAGTTGTGTTAATGACTTTCTTTTCTTTGTATTATCGGTTACAGTTGGATGTTGTTACTCCAACGTTGAGTTTGACACAGCCATCGGTTGCTCGATTCTCCGTTGAAGTGGACTTGACAAAAGAGTTGCCGAAATCCATTAAGATTGAGAAACGAGGAAAGAAACACGAGCACTTGTTTACATATGAGTATGTGCCAACTTTTTGTAACAAATGCAAAAGGATCGGTCATAAGGAGGAAGAATATCACAAGGGGAAAGCTTTTCTGGCTGCGCAACTTGCGAAAAACCCTAGCCAAGAAAAATAGCCGCAAAACAATGTGAAGGGTAAAGGCATTCTGATAAATGACCCTAGTCCTTCGACTGATGTGCCAATGAGTTGATGAATTGGTGAAGGAAAAGCAAAAGGAGGGTAATGTACAGGAGGATAATGTGCGATACTGAGAAAAAAAAACCCCACCCTCTCCGCAGAAGCAAGTCCAACAACAGGTAGAATCAAGTGGAAATAATAAATTTCAACACTTGGCTGAAATTGTAACGGTCGAAGAAGTCAGCCATAGTGGGGATGAAAGAGAAGCGCCTAACCAGCATGACGAGGAAGGCATTAATGTCGTCAATGAACAGTCTCCTAAGGGGAATCTTTTGGCAAAAAGTACGATACAATGCTCATATCGAGTTGTCCATTATGCGTCCGATGAAGAGCATGGCACTAAAACAGGTGGATTATTTGAAGAGGAAGAAGTAGAAGGAGGGCGCTGGTCAGAAAAGGAGATGGAAGACCCACAGATGGAAGATTTGAGTCAAGGTTTTGTCACTGTGAAGAGGAAAAGAGGCAGCAAAACTAAGGAGGAAAGATTACAAATGCCGGAGGGTCTTGTACTCCGTCGTTCAGCTCGTTTGCAATAAAGGTTCAGTGTCAGTTGTAATAAAATTTCCAATGATTAAGCAATTAATTTAGAATATTAGGGGTGTTAAAAATAAAGCGGCACAGCTGCGGTTGAGGTCTTTGATTCAAACGCATTCTGTGTCTTTTTTTATCGTTCTTGAGCCGATGTTAGAGGTTGATCAGCTTGATGAAGTACGGCGGATCTTGAGGTTTGATCATGCTTTCTCATCCTCTTCCAGCAAAATTTGGGTTTTTTGTAAAGATGGCTTCGTCTTATTTCCGTTGGCGGATAAAGGGCAGGTTTTTCACTTTGAAGCTCAGCATCCTCACTTTGATAGCTCCTTCTATGTTTCTGCGGTATATGCCAAATCAAGTAGAAGTGGTAGGCAGCAGTTTTGGGCTGATTTGAAGGCTTTTTATGATAATCATACTGGAAGTATGTGGATGGTTGGTGGAGATTTTAATGCCATTAGAAGTCTTGATGAATATTCCGGCACAGCTATACGAAATCGGGGCTCAATGGATGACTTCAATGGTTGTATATGCGACTGCAATCTCTCCGAAATTCAGGCTGTTGGCGAAGAGTTTACCTGGTGTGGATCAAAGCAAAATGGCTGGGTTTGTAAAAAAACTTGATCGCGTCTTGTTCTTAGCGGAATGGCTGGACTTTTTTTCGGTCTCTTCATTCTTTTTTTGGAGTGGCATCAAAGACTAAGCCAAAACCGTTTTGTTTTCAAAATATGTGGTTCAGAAGGCCGAATTTATGTCAATTGTGGTGAACTCTTGGAGTCAGCCGGTTGTGGGTTATGGTATGCAAGCTTTCTCCATTAAGTTGCGAAGGCTGAAGTCTGCACCCAAGGAGTGGAATAAAGATTTTTTTTGAGAATGTCTTTGACAACCTTAAAGCAGCTGAAGAAGCGGTAAGTTCCGTGGAAATTCAATATGATCTTTCTAAAAGTGTTGAGGTGACAAGCCGTCGTTACACTAGTCAAATAATAATTACCTACTTAATACAATTACTAGTAGTAAAGCAGAAAGCACGGTCGATCCCACAGAGAAGGAATACTAATTACCAGGTATAAATTACTCCTATTATTATCTATATAAATGATGATCTCATATTTATAAAATTTAAAACTAAAATAAATAAAATAAAAACAAATAATATTAATTCAAATAATCAGACAAAGAAAACCTAGGACATTGGGTTCACCTACCGAATATTTGGTTTGATTCAATTCATAACTATCTGACTTTTAACTTCCATTAATCTCACAATGACTCACCTAATTAAGAACTATACACTCTCGTGCTATAATTCTCTTACTTAGATTAACCCTATGACTACTCTCGTGACTATAGAGATTAACAAAAGCACATTAAGACCATTAAGAATCAAATATTGCAAAGGTTATAATCTTACTCTCATAGCTTACAACCTAAGTTTATTATTCCTACGAACTAATACTAATCTTTCACTCTCGCTACTTCGATTAATATCTTCAGACATGCAAATAGTGGCCAATTACTTACACGAATTTAAACAAGAATAACAAATATTAATTAATGGAAAAGTCAAATAATAATAAACCAAATAAACCAAATAAATTCGGTGGCTACACCCAAGCCCTAGATTAAAAGAATTTAGCCACATTATAAAAAATAATTCAATAATATTTAGAGACATAATTAAAAAAAAATAAATTAAATAATTAAAACTCCAAAACCCGAATGAAGCCAAAAACCCGCCAAAAACTCCCCGACGGTGCTAGCTTTGTGGCTGGTGTTGAAGAAGCTTTTGATGGTGTGTGACTCTGCCGGTGTTGATGCTGCTGCTGTGTGTGCGAAGGAAAGGAAGCAAGGTGTGGTCTCGGCGGTGAAGAGGCAGAGGTGGTGCGTGGATGTGGAGAAGAGGAAGAAGGTGGAGCAGCAGTGGTGGTTATGGAAGCAAAGTGGTGGTGATGCTGCGCGGCGGTGATGGTGTGTGAGGGTGAAGCAAGGAAGGATGTTGTGATGATGCTGCCGGTGAAGGAGGAGGGAGTTTGGTGGTGGTCGGCGGCGGTGAACAAAGAAGCAAGAAGGTGGATGGCGGGGGAAGTGGTTTGCAGCCGTAAGGTTTTCGGCCAGTTTTCGGTTCAGTTCTGTTATAAAAATAAATCCCTAATCCTCCTTTTATAGGCTTCCGTCAAAACCTTACTTCTTGGAGAGGAAGAAAACTTGTTTCCCAAATAATATCGGGATTAAAATTCGTATCCAATTCCAATCCCAAATCAGCCGTACCATCATCGTTTGTTCGGCCAATTTCCAAAAACTAAAATAAAATTCTAAAATTGCGTCATAGGCCCTCTAATTCTCTAAACTCATTAATTTCTTCCCCATCAATTGCTCCAATCTTCAATTCTTTCCCATTGAGTTGCTTTTAATTCGATTTTAGCTCAAAACTTCAACAATTCTTCATTTGAGTACAATTCCTACAATTAAAGATAAAATCACATAAATAGCATATTTGTACTCAAAATATATTGCAAAAATCACAAATTAGGGATATCATAAATAGGTAAAATATAAGCATATCATGAGGACAGAATCAAGCTTCAGGAAGCAAAAGCTCATTTTATTTTAAAGCTCAAAGAACGGGATGACTTTTGGCGACAAAAAATGAAGTTGAAGTGACTTAGAGAAGGTGATGCTAATACAAGTTATTTCCATGCTTCTTTAGTCGAGAGAAGATCGAGACTTGCGATCAATAAAATTCAGTTTGAGAATGGCTCATGGTTAGATGAGAGGGATGAGATTGAAGTGGATGGCAGTAAAATTTTTTTAAAATCTGCTCGCATGTGAAGAAGTTGAAGGTAGTGATCAAGCGCAAGGGGTTTTGATTCAATACATACCTTCACTACTCACGGAAGAAGATTGTTCGATGTTATTACTCCCTTTGGAGTTGGATGAAGTTAAGGTGGCTGTTTATGGTTTAGACCCCGATAGTGCTCCAGGTCAGATGGATTCGACAGGAATTTTATCGATGTTGTTGGAATATAATTTCAGTGGACTAGTTGGCTGCAAGCAGAGAATATATGGCTGGGGTTCCATTGTCGTGAGCTGTGGGAAGTACTTTGATCACTTTGATTCCAAAGAAAAGTTCAATCACGTTTGCTGATTTTAGACCCATAAGTCGATGTCACTTTTTTACAACATCTTCACCAAAAGCTTGAAAGAAAGGATGAACAAATGCTTAAGTAAATTGATATCGGAGGAGCAATCGGTTTTTTTTTTTTTCCGGGTCAGGACATAATTGACAATGTCTTGCTTGCTCAGGATTTATGTCAATTTTTGAGGCATAAGGCGGAAGGTGATAATGTCATCATCAAAGTGGACATGATGAAGGCCTTGATAGAGTAACATGGTGTTTTTTGAGGGCTATTTTGTTGGCTTTTGGTTTTCCTCCAATATTTGTGGAATTGATAATGAATAACTTGAAGGGAAGCTGGTTTTCAGTGTTGATTAATGGTTCCCCAATAGGTTTTTTTCAATCCTCTAGAGGGCTTAAACAAGGGGATCCAATGTCCCCCTACTTATTCATTCTAGTCTCCGAAGTAATATCAAGAAGGCTGAATTTTCTAGTGCATGATTGAAGGGTTGCGCACTTTGGAACGCCGGCTGGTTCATCTCCACCATCTCATTTATCTTTTACAGACGACCTCATAGTTTTTACTAGGGGCCTGAAAAGGTCTTTGCAAGTTCTTAATCATTGTTTTGATGACTATGAAGCGGCAACGGGGCAAAGAATAAATAGGAACAAAAGTTTCTTTATGGTGTCATCAAAGTGCAAGCCTCGGCGAGTTGAAATTATAAGGAATGCTCTTGGTATGGATAAAGGTTCCTTTCCATTTGTTTACTTGGGGTGTAGATTTTTTGAAGGTCCAAAGAAAGGTTGCTACTTTCAGCATTAGTAGGATTCTTTTGAGAAGAAGCTTTCAAGTTGAAAGAATAAGTTCTTGTCGCAAGGAGGTAGATTACTTCTTGTTAAGCATGTTTTGGCAGCAATCCCAATTCATACACTTGCGGCAATTCCTCCACCTAAAAGTATCATAATGGAGTTAGAAGCAAAGTGCCAAAAGTTCTTATGGTAAAGTTCAATTGAAGAAAGGCGGCGGCATTGGAGGGCATGGGAGAAAATTACCTATCTTTGAAAGAAAATGGATTGGGATTGAGGAGATTTTGGGACGTTTTGGATGCTTTTTCTGCTAAGTTGTGGTGGAAGGTTGGGAAAAATGCTGGTCTTTGGGTTAGGTTCAAGACTTCTTTATCTCCGACAGTGAAGGAAAAAACAATGTGGAAGCGAGTTCAAAACATACGATGTAAGGAAGCTGCTCATTCCAAAGTTCTTGTGAGAAAAGGGAATAGCTCGTTTTGGTTCTCCAATTGGTCGCACTTTGCGGTATTATGGGATATCCATAATCATGATCCTCCAATGCCAAATCTAACCATTAGAGAATTCTTTCAATATAGGCAGCGTTATGGATTTCATCTATATGATCACCTCTCTGATCATGTAGTGGATGTGTTGCTACAAATGAAGCTGGAATTTCAAGATAATGAGCTGGATATTTAAATTTGGCAGCCTATATCACAAGGGGATTTTACTATAAAATCAGCATATGAGGTGATGCGATGATCTCAACCTTGTGATGTGATATCCGAGAATGTATGGCATTTTACTATTCCTTTAAGGATTTCTGTTTTTGTTTGGAAGTTGCATAATAGATTGTTGCCTCTTGCGAATGTGGTAAAGAATTTTGGAATCTATGTTATGCCCTCAATGTGTGTCTCTTGTAAGCAGCAAAGTGAGACCATCAATCATTTGTTTTATGAATGTGTGGAATCAAGGAGAATTTGGGATTTTTTTTGCGGCAAAATTAGGGCTAACAATCCAGCCAGCTGCGGGGTGTTTTGTTTTCTTAGCTTCCTGGGTGGGGGCAAGGCTAGGAATGGCTCTCTCTTTCATAATGTGCCCTTCACTTTTAGCAAAATCTGTTTTTTAATAGAAGATCATATTGTTTCTTTGTTGAAAGTTTGGAATTTGAAGGTTAAATCTGTTGTTGAATCAAAAAGGTTGGAAGAGTTATTTGGAGTGAAGATTGTTTATTTGGATCACAGGAGAATTCAAGTAGTCAAGTGGACTCCTCCAGATGCTAACTGTTATATCCTTTACTCTTATGGTTCGACTCTTGGAGCTCCTAGCCAGTCAGGGTTAGGGTTTGTCATTCGTGTGGAATATGAAAAATTCATATATGGTGAATCTAAATTTCTAAACATTGGCTCTAGTCTGAATACTGAGGTACAAGGCATTTTATGTGGTGTTAGGAAATGTGATGAATTTGGGCTGCTGAATGTTGCTATACAAACAGATAACAAGCTCCTTGTAGATATACTACTTAATCAAAGTAATTTTCCCCGGAGGCATTTCTCAGAATTACGTGAAATAACGGGGATCATGAAGAGAATGGGATACAATATCTCCCATATCTTTCGAGAGGCTAATTCGGTTGTGAACGGATCATCTAAAGTCGCTTCTTCCAGTGTAAATGTTATTTTCAGTACTTTAGAAGAGTTGCCAGTTAAGGAAAAAGGTCTTTTGATTCTTAATCAAAGGTCTTTTCCTTATATTCAAATTATGTAGTTTTATCTGGAAATCATCTGTAATAGTATAGCCTTAGCATCTTTTTATATCTCTTTCTGTATAAGGGTATGGACATACTCTGCTCTTTCTGATTTAGTTTCTTCATGGAATGAAAAAAACAGGAAGGGATGAGGCTAGGGAACTGAATAATATATATGTTCATCCCTTGGGTAGACCCCTTGAGTGCATTATACTATCCGGCAATTGCTAGCTCAAAAATTTACCTCTTGGGTATACCCTTTGAATTTTTTTTGAGCTAGTTGGAACCTCAATATCGTCCTATCCTTTTTATTTTACCTAAAAAAATAAAAAAAAAGATTTATTAAATAAAAAAATATTCTTTTCAAAGTTATATATTTTAAAACTAAGGGTTTAGTTTTTGGGAAAATTCCTATTAAGAGCGTTGCAAATTTTATAATTCTTAATAAGGGCATTCAACTTTTAAAATTCCTTTAAAGGGCGTGATATTGGTTTAGCATAGTAATTGTATTATTAATGACAATCTAACCCTTTTATGTAAATAAATAAGAGAGTTGATACTTATTGCCAAAATCCCTTCCTATTTCACCAAAATTTCGAATCATGTTGAAAATCAATTACACCTCATTGAAAATGTTTTACAAAAAAAAATATGTTTGTTCGAAATATCTAAGTCCAATCCAACAAGAAAGCATAATTCTATATTGGCTGCGTCTTAGAAGTTAAGAAGAAATAATTTATATGTAGAACAAAATAAATTTTTGATTAAGTTAGCACGACAAAAGTGCAACATAGTACTATATTATCTTGCCAATGATTTTAATCGAGATGGAGATTCATGAAAAGAATTATTCTACCTGTTTTAGTGGTTTTTTACAAATTGATAGACAAAGAAAACCTAGCTTGACTAGCTTCTTAACCTGGAAAGCTGTTATTTTCATTTTTTCCCTCTTTTCAGAGTGGAAGGAGTTCTTATTTGAGGAAAAATGGAAAACTGCTTGCAAATCGAATCCAAAGTAATCATTATTTTATTTTATGTTTTTTATGGCAAATTATAATTCGGACAGTTGTTAGATGGAAATTGACAAATTGTGATAAAATAATACATTAAAAAGGTTAAGATTGTCATTATTAATATATTTAATATATTAAAATAATTTCACACCCGTAAAAGGAATTTTAAAAATTAAACGTCCTTATTAGCAATTATAAAACTTGCAACGCCCTTAATAAGAATTTTTCCTTAGTTTTTTTTTTTTTTGGAGTAGGGCCTATTTATTTTAAATTTTATAGTTTAAAAAATTTAATAAAAACTGTCAAATTTCATTAAAAAAAATAAAGCATTGATACAAAAAAAAAAAAACATTCACCAAAGAAAATTAAAATAATGACAATATAAAAATTATCTATGATAAGAGTATGTGTTTATAGTATATGTATTAAGACAAAATATATTATCCATAAGAAATAATTGGATTGTCTAACAGAGTGTAAAAGAAAAGTGTCACAAAATCCAATCACTAAAAAACTTACTTAATATGTAAAGATATTTTTAACATGGATTATATAAATAATTCGCTAAAAAACTAACTTAATAACTTTCATTAAATTGTTTTAAAAAATAATAATGGGTTTGTGCCTTATATTAAGGACATGAGGCAGCATATTTTACCGACCAAACATATTTAGTTAATTTATTAATGCACTTTCTCCGATTCTTATTATTAGGCATTTTGATTTTGTCTTAGTTTTCACCTAAGAAGTTTTTTTAATTGGAAAAAAAAATATTAAAAAATATATTTTCACATTCGTTGTTCTCCTGATTATTAGGAAATGATTTTAAGGTTTTTATTTCAATTAAAAGACATCTAGGTGAACTTTTAGACAAATCAAAATGCCTTATAAAAGACTGGAGGGAGTATATGATTGAGAATTGATGGAATTCCACACAGAAGACATGGATTTTCTCCTCATCTTTATTGACTAGTTGAGTTGAACCCACGAAAAAAAACACACACTCTGTTTCTCTCTTCTCACTTTTTCTGTTTTTGTCCCCATTTCTTTTCTCTGTAAATCTTTCCATGGATGAGCCTGAGCATCAAGAGAAGCCAAATAATTATGAGGAACAAGGTTCATCAGCTCACTCGCATGGTCAAGAAGTACTTGGTCCTCCTGAAAAACCAAAAAGGAACAAATATGCATTAGCTTGTGCACTTTTAGCTTCCATGACCTCAATCTTGCTTGGATATGGTACTTCCTCAATTTACTCAAAAGTTCACATTCATCTTTAACGTTAATTCATTCAAAACAAAAAAAGAAAAAAGATTACATCTATTTGGTCTGTGTTTGTGCAGATACAGGGGTGATGAGTGGAGCCATAATTTACATACAACCTCAGCTTAAAATCTCCGATGTTCAGAAAGAAATCTTAGTGGGTACGATCAACATCTACTCTCTTGTGGGCGCGGCGGCTGCCGGCCGGACATCCGACTGGCTTGGTCGGCGCTACACAATAGTTTTTGCTGCTTCGATATTCTTCGCCGGAGCTTTTCTGATGGGATTTGCTACTAACTATGCTTTTCTCATGGTTGGCCGTTTTGTGGCCGGAATCGGAGTTGGGTATGCGCTTATGATCGCTCCGGTGTACACCGCCGAGCTCTCTCCGGCTTTATCCCGTGGGTTCCTCACTTCATTCCCTGAAGTCTTCATCAACTTTGGTACGTTCGTTTTTTTCTGCTTTTCATTTTTTCTTCCCCACTCGGTGAATTGTGATGATCCTCACTCTAATTGTTTTCATTTTTAGTTTCACTTTATTATTATTATTTTACTTTTTTTGTGGTTCCTACTTGTTTGGATTTTAGTTTGAGATATAGATTTTTCTTTTTCACTCTCTATCTTCCTGGTTTAGGCCTTTTTATTATGAAAAAAACTAATAAGAGTACATTCATAGGACTCTCTCCGGTATTAAGAAATTTTGATTTTATCCTTAGATTTTACTTAATAAGTATTTTTAATTGACGGAAAAACCTTAAAAATATTTTCTAACAATCAAGAGAACACAACAACAAATGTGAAAATATAATTTTAAGGTTTTTTTCGTTAATTAAAAATGCATGTTAGATGAAACCTAAGACAAAATCAAAATGTCATATATGGACTGGAGGGAGTAATTCTTTCAGTTAAATTTTAAGTAGATAGACATCAAATAGTACTGTAACTATGTTGTCCTAAATCGAGTGCTACTAATTCAATATCTGTTGTCCAATATAATTCAACTAAACCACGTCGCGATAATGATAGAGTTGGATGGGGTCCTCCTAATTGGAAAAGCAAAAACTATAGTACCAATTGTGTCTATTGTGACCAGCACTACAAAAAGGCCCCCAATGAAAACAGTACTTTTGTTGTTTATCATCATTCATCAAATTAACAAACTTGCCCCGAAAAAACAAACTTGTTACTTCATCATTTTACACACGGCAACTTGCATGCATACATGTGACTCAAGATAGCTACATCAATTTTTTGTCACGTACAGAAAACGATTTCTCCCACTAAAAATTGCACGTTCAGTCAATTCTCATTTCTCAATGATTGATTATCATTCTTTTGATACTGAATTCAATTTTTTCGCAGGTGTACTGCTGGGCTACGTCTCTAACTATGCATTTTCCAAACTCCCGGTCAATTTGGGCTGGCGATTCATGCTCGGAGTCGGCGCAATTCCGTCGTTAATATTAGGCTTAGGAGTATTAGCCATGCCGGAATCACCTCGTTGGCTTGTAATGCAAGGCCGGCTCGGAGACGCCAAGCGAGTCTTAGATAAAACTTCCGACTCTCCACAAGAATCCCGACAGAGATTATCCGACATCAAAGAAGCCGCCGGCATCCCTTCCGACTGCAACGACGACGTCGTCTCCGTCCCAAAACAGGAAAGCCACGGTGCCGGAGTCTGGCGAGAGTTATTCCTCCGTCCAACTCCGAGAGTCCGTCACATACTAATCGCAGCCCTTGGCATACATTTCTTCCAGCAGGCAAGCGGGATAGATTCCGTCGTCTTATACAGCCCGACGATTTTCGAAAAAGCCGGCCTGAAAAAGGATAGCCAGAGGCTTCTTGCCACCATAGCCGTCGGATTATCAAAAACCGGTTTCATCCTCGTCGCTACATTCTTGCTAGACAGGATCGGACGGCGGGTGCTGCTTCTAACCAGCGCCGGCGGAATGGCGGTTTCGCTGCTCGGACTCGCCACCGGATTAACCGTCATCGATCATTCTTCCGATCACGGTGAAAAAAACGTAACATGGGCAGTAATATTATGTTTTACGTGTACATTGACTTGTGTTGGGTTCTTCTCCATCGGGATGGGTCCCATTGCTTGGGTTTACAGCTCGGAGATATTTCCGCTCAGGTTGAGGGCTCAGGGATGCAGCGTCGGAGTTGCTGTGAACAGGTTTACCAGTGGGATTGTGTTGATAACGTTTATATCTTTGTATAAGGCCATTACTATTGGTGGGTCGTTCTTTCTGTATGGCGGGGTTGCGACTTTGGCTTGGATTTTCTTCTACACTTTGCTGCCGGAGACTCGTGGGAGGAGTCTAGAAGAGATGGAGGAGCTGTTTGGTACGTTTTTCCGGTGGAGGTCAACGGCCAAAGAGCTTCGGAGAAAAAAGAATGGTGAGGAAGAATTGACATCATTTGGTTAGATATTTTTGTCGATCAAGCTGTGTAATATAGTATCATTGACAAAATTCGTTACATCATTCAATAAAAATTACTCCCTCCGTCCCATAATTATTGTCCACTTTGCCCAGAAAATTTTCTCCCAAAATTATTGTCCAATTTGACTTTTTATGGATCAAGTTACACATTTGTCCTTGGTAAAAAACATTATCCATAAAATCTTAGTGGTTAAACAACTACTTATGTAGGGGTACATCCAGTTGTTTAAGATAAAATATAGTTAAGTTTGACTAAAAATAAAATCTTTCATTTCAGTAAAATTGGATAATAATTATGGGACGGAAGGAGTACTTAAATTATGACCGTTTAAATATAATTTCGTTTATAACTCAAAAGTGTTATAAATTTTATTTTTGACGAGTACTTGTATTAGTTTTTGAAAAAAATGCTAATAAATCGGCGATCTTCCCAAAGTTTTGTAGAATATAATATCATGTTATTGTAATTTGTACATCTATAAGCATTTCCAAGTGATACAAATGAAGGAGTAGGGCTGATAAATCAAGAGGCCGATTAAGCGAGTTTGCATTTCAACCTATTTACGAAGAATCAGAACAAACATATTAAGTTTTTCACTACCTTGAATATTAAGCTCATCCAGATCATCCTCTTCTTCTGTAGAGATAAAATTAACCTGTTTCAGATTGCATATGTGCCCTGGACCCCATTGATCACCACACTTCTAACATAGGTTATTATTTCTTCTGTAGTGAATCTCTTGTGGTGATACCCTTTTAAAGGTTTCACGTCCCACCTTTCTGTTTCCCACCCCCCACATTCTTGTTGACAACAGGAACTCTGGTTGGCTGATTATAAGTTTGAGCAGTCGGCGTTACTTGAGTCCTGCTTTTTCAGGGCAAGTTCCAGAGTTTTCCCCTTCACTTTTAGCAATCTCAAATGCTCTCAGGTGTGAAGGGCTCTAACAAGCAAACCATCGATTTGAGTTCTTTTAATCCACTCACACAACTAGAGATAAAGTAACCCTCTGTTAAGTGAAGATCTTTATACAAAACCAACGGTTTCGGTTCATCAAATTTCTCATCATAGTCCATAACAGAACCTTTTTGTTGCAGTTTATTGAACTCCTCGATTTCATCCATTTCTCCCTTATCTCCAAACCTCTTCTTTAGTTCTCTTTCAATAGACCAAGTTATGATGCCATTAATGCTTTTCAGACTCACTACAACAAAAATGAGTAATTTAGACACTTTTTTGTATCTCACTAAATGGTGTAATAGGACACATGTGATTTATATTGTGTGGGACACTACTAAATAGTGTCTCCTATAATCGAGTCACAATAAGTCATAAAACATTTGAAAGTGTATTATTAGATTGTCACTTATTAAGACACTTTAAAGTGACCCATTAAGTAGGGTAATAGTTCACAAGTAACTCCACATATTACACTTATGATAGTGTTTCATAATATGCATACACTTTTTCATTTTTAATAAGACACTTTTTAGTAAATGTTCTAATACACATATAATGAGACACATTTTAGAAAAAGTATCCCACTATAAAGATATTAATAGCTCATTTTTGTTACAGTGACTTTTGGTACAAAGTATCAGCCTTTCCATCAAGGTGTAAATCAATAGCATACATTCTATCATTATCCAAAATATTGTAGATAATGAAATATTTCTTATATTTTCTCAACCATTTCCTTGGATTTTCCCTTAAAATTTGAAAGCTCCAACCTTGGTTGAATCGTCCAAGCATTCTTTCCATTCTTATCCCTCCAAGGATTAGGAGAATCATCTTCTAAATTGAATCCTACAAATTGAGCCGAATGTTCATACAAATATAGAGGTAATTTAGATATTTTTACACCAGGAAATGATAAGTAAAATGAAGAAAGCAAAATCCAGCTCAGCTTTGGTTTGTCCCTCATGCATGCAGGATGCTTCCCAGTAGCTTTGTTTTGCTTTTGCCCCAATTAACGGCGTTTGATCACCGCACCTTACTTCCAGATTACCCGATTGCCTTAACCCGTTTCCCTTAACCCGATCCTGCATGTACTGGATGGGTGACCTGACGGTCCTAAGTCCTAAGCTCTTCTTCATCTGCCCGCGCGCGTGTAGGACGCTTAGTAAGTCTAGATGTAGATTTGGCTGAGAAACGAGGACGACAACGTGGAAAGTGGGTATTATTAACATCGCTGCTCATTTTGTTTGTGTATAAACCTAACTTCTTGTTATACTCTTCTATTATCTTAATTCCAAAAATTTCAAAACATCAGGTTAGTAACCAATACAAACTTTAATAAACGCAACTATAAAGTTTAGATATATCAAGCCGAGGACAATAACTACATGCTGCACTGCCATTTCTTGCGTGATTCAAGGAAAATGCAAAATTGGAATTTGATTATATATATATATATATATATATATATATATATATATATCCTATTAAAATAACTACCCAAGTGAGAATTCTTGCTGATGTGTCGCACTCTTTGCGTTATTTTCCTGCCAAAAATTAATACCATTTTTGGAAATAAAAAAAGAACGAACAGTCCCCTTAAACTAATGAAATTCTAGCAATAATTCTTCTTAATTTCACTAAATTAGTGTTTCACTTCTTCTTCAATATCCATACTACTTTCACCCCCTTAAAATTGAATGCATATAATAATTCCTATTAATGTTACGAATATAATATCCATACCCCTCCATAAAACCTACCTTTTTGGCTAAACAAAAAGTCATATTTTTGAATGTACAAAATTTTACCCCTTAATCAAGCATAAATTTCAAATATCACAAATTGTAATATCCATATCCTTAGTTAAAATTCACTCTTTGGCCAAAAGAAGTTCTTAAATTTTTATTTATTATGTCATTGCCAAATTTAAACCCTGTGACACTCGTACAATATAGGAAGATAAAATTTTGGTGTGACATTTTTATGCAAAGAAAAAAAATGCTATTCATGGTATACAAAAAAAAAAATTTAAAATTGTACGAGCTAACATTATGCAAAAAAAATTAAAGAAAATATTCTCTTCATAATCAACTGTAGTGATTCTAATGTTACAAACCAATTCCTTTTATCAAGAAAATATTATAATTGTACAAAATCAACAAGAGCATGTTATCATCCAAAAAGATATTTCTCTACAAGACTAATAAATATGCAATCTTTGTACATAGTTTATCGATTTGTTTGGTATTTTTTATAATCTTTGAATTATTTAAACATATAGTTCAAAACAAAATCTCAACATTTTCGGTTAATAATAAACTACACCATCTTATTGTACTTGTGTCTTTATTCATGGGGTATTTTAATTCTAGAGTTTAGTTTCATTTTAGGAAAATATGATAGTACGAGTTATTGAATTTTTCTTATATATTTTTATAATTATGAAAAAATATAAAATTATTAATTTTCGTGCAAGCACGGGATGTAACCTAAGTGTGTGTGTGTGTGTATATATATATATATATATATATATAAGATATCCATAATAAAATGATTGTAACAATATCTTTACTTAGCATCTCTAGAGTGGAAAACATGGATCCTAAAGTATTCGTGATTTAATTTGACCACTCAAAATACAGTTACTATCATCTGAATACTCCCTCTATCCCGAAATGATTGTTCAGTTTGGATTTTGTTAGATAGTACAAATTCTGTTAAAAATGAAAACCTAAATTTAACAATAATTTTGAGACATGGGAAGTACTTGGTTCTGTTCCAATAGTATATACTCCCTCCGTTCCATAATTATTGTCCAGTTTGAGTTTTCATCTCTAGTTCAAATTGTACTAAAAGTGAAATCTCAAACTGGACAATAATTTTGGGACAAAGAAAGTAGGGCTGATAATTCGGTTGGTTCGGCACTGTTCGGGTGAAATTTGGTTCGGGTTAATCGGATTTTTCCTCTCACAAGACCTGACCAAAATCGAACCGAAGTATCTCTTACACCGAACCGAACTGACCAAATTAATAATCAGGTATATCGGTTCGGATTTCGGTTAAACCGAAAAATGCAAGTTCAAGTGAAATTCAGAATCTGAAATTCAGAACAAATACAACCTGAAATTTTATTAACCTTAAATAAGCAAAAATTTTCAACAAAATGATCCTTCAAATTTAAAAGTTTCATTATAAGGTCACAGACCACTGTCGAGTACAAATTAAAACATAGAAAATCAAAAATTCTTCAACCATCAAGACTTCAGTCTTCAAGGATCCAAAACAGAATAGAATTTGGAGAAAGCAGATTTCATAAAAAGCTTTCAGTCTTCTCTCCTTAGTCTTAAATTTGGTACTGCATAGTTCAGTTTTCAACAATTCAACTTGAGTCTTCAACTTGACAGTATGCAAATTCAGAAATTCAAAGAAGCCAAGTGAACGAAAGAAGCCTGATGCCTCAAAACCAAACCAAAACAAAAAAATTATTTGACCTTGTCAGGATTAAAAAACATCCGAGGATTTCAAGTGACCAAATCTCCAACTAACCAAAGAAGCCAACAAACAATGCGATGGTGAAAGAAGAACAAAATAGTCAAGGAGGAAAATTTTTATTTAGATCAGAAATAAGAACAAATGGGACTGTCAGATCTGATGGTAAACGGTATCCTTACCTCAGGTGATTTGCTAGTCTTTTTTTTCCTTCACTCTTCACTGCAGCTTTTTAATTTTCCCCTTTGGCCTTCAAATTTTCGATGAATTGACTTAGAATTTGGTAAATCTTGAGTGAAATTGGTGGATTGTGGTGGTAGGCAGTGGTGGATTGTATTACTGAATTAGTGGGAAGTGGAGTGAAATTCATGGATTGTGCTGATGGATTGTGGTGGTGGATTGTGCGGTCATGGAGCCATAGAGGTGTAGGTGGAGGTGGGATCGGCGTTTGGTTATGGGCGGCGGCTTGGAAGAAGAAACGAAGAAGGAGGAGAGAGGAGAAAATCGGGCTACTAATTTGGAAGAAAGAAAAAGAGATGAAGACTTAACCCTAGAATGATCAGGCGGAGTTTATATATTTGATAAATAAAATAATAAAAAATAAAATTATTGGGGTTAGTTGGGTAGCCCCGAAAAATAATTCTGGGAACCGACCCCAAACCACATAAGCTAACAACGGTTAATCGGGTGGAGCCGAAATTCTCCCGATTAAACTGATTAGTCGATCTGTTTTGTCCGAATTTGTTTCGGGTCAAGCGGTTGGTCGGGTCTACCCGATTAATCAGCAGCCCTAAAAGGAAGTACGTAATTTGTTTAGTTATTGTTAATTTCTACAGGGTATTGTTCAATGCAGAAAGTATATATCTGGAAACTAAAGTTGGATCAGCATAGAACGACCAGATTAAGTGATTTTGATTTTTGACTCTGATGCGGAAATTTCTTAGATCTTTTTCGCTCATTAGTCTGCAAACCGTTGAAAAGATCAGCAATATTTTTGAAATACTATAAAAATACCCTCAAAAGAAAAAATTCTATAATAATTATCGTTTTCTGTTTCCAATGCATTTTTGGTCCAAAATTTCTAAACATACCCTCAAAAGAACTAGTACCATTGGTAAAAATTTATTTTAATGGAGTTAGTTGAGGATATTCTAATAATTTAACTACCCTATTTAAGTGTTTCTTAAACTGTGTGCAAGTTGTAGAATGACACTTAGTGCGAAATGGCATGTTGTTATAGTTGTTGTTTATCCAAAAACAATACAACCTTGAGTTTGGGACAAAAATACAACTCCCTCCATTTCAAAATGTAGGTCGTTTTAGATTTGGAGAAACATTTCAAAATATAAGTCGTTTTAGGATTTCTAGGCAAATATAAAGATCAACTTTCCAATTTTGCTCCAAATAAATGATGCTAACCATTTTTCATCTAGTCTTGGTTATAGTTCCAAAACAATTAATGATGAAAAAAATAGATATTTAACACACAAATTAATTATTAAATAATTATCTTCTTAGTTTACGTGCAGAGTCTAAAATGACTTATATTTTGAAATGTAGGGAGTATTTATTTGATGTTCATGGCTCTAACAAGAGAAAGAAATACTTTGACTTTTGTTGGATGGAAGAATATGTATTTCCTCCATTCCAATTCAATAGACCCATTTAGATATACACGGAGATTAAGAAAAAGTGGGTAATATAATTTATGTAGTTTATTTTAAATAAAATTTCTACCACACCCTTATTAATGACTAATGAGTTATTAGTTGATATGAAAGAGTACTAGTTAAAATTAATTAAATGTTCTTGATTTCAGTGAACATGAGAATGGTATATTAGAGAGTTTATAGAAAAAGTTAATTAATTGTCTGAAGTGGGACTAAGTTTAAAGTATCTTAAAAGGGGAAGTGAGCCTATTGAAATAGAACGGAGGGAGTATATTTTAGAGACAAGTGTTTATTGTCTTGAACTTTCACGTAGACTGCAAATGGTAAAACAAGAATTTATTTCAAATTACAACAACATTCCAGAGCACAATTTCCAAAAGGCCAATATCAATTCCTGATGGAATACATATTACTCTCAATTCTGATTCATACATAATTAAATTATATAATCAGGCTGGGCGGGCTCGGATTCGGCGAACATATTGCTGCCGGAGTTGCAAATGCTTTGGCCACCATCAATAAATAAATTGTGGCCACTCACACACTTGGCGTCATCACTGGCTAGGTAAAGAGCCGCTTTGGCCACATCATCAACCCGGAGACTGACGCCTTGAAGGTTTGACTGCCAATGCAAACTTAAGGATTTCTCAAAATCGACTCCCTCGACTCCCTCACTCCCCATAAACTTCCTGGCCAGCGGAGTTTCCATAATATTGGGCAACAGGCAGTTGACTCTGATCCCATATCTCCCAAGCTCAACCGCCAGATTCCTGGTCAGCCCTAAAAAGCATGCATGGAACAAGTATAAGCATGGGTGGCGGCGCCGCCCATCCCCGAGGTCATGCTGGCGGTGGAAATTATGCAACCGCTGCGCGCCGGAACCATCACCCGGGCCGCGTGCTTCATCCCCAGGAAAACCCCCGTGACGTTGACTTTGAGCACTCTCTCAAAGTCGGCTGTTTCGTTGTCCGAGATCCTGGTGTTCTTTCGATCGATAAAAGCCGCGTTGTTCATCATGATGTCCAGTTTCCCGTAGGTTGCGATGGCTTTGTCAACGGCATTCTTGACGTGATCTTCGTTGGTTACGTCGCAGTGAACGTAGGTGCTGTTGTTTTCCCCGCCTAAGGTTTGGCTTAACGAGTGTCCGAGGTTGTCTTGGATGTCGGCGATCACAACCTTAGCGCCGTGGTTGGAAAACAGCTTCGCCGTGCATTCACCTATCCCACTCGCTGCTCCAGTGATCAAAGCCACCTTTCCTTCTAACCTGTAATTAATTAATTAACACCAAATTATTAGTAATTCATTAAACAAGTAATACTGTATTGACGACAACCCTATGGGAGAATTAATGGATATTTATCCACGGCAAATTTCGTCAAGGACTGAAATTAATTTTCTTACGTACTACTACTTCCTACTTCTGGAAAGTACGTAGTAAAAAGGATTAAGAAATTAATTAAATTAAAGTGGGTACATAACTTTTGCATGCTGCTGTAAGTAGAGACGACGAGCTTGCCATAGCTATTAGCTCTCTATTTTGAACTAGAGAGTTTGTGTTTTAATTAGGATGACTGTATTTGAGATGCTAAAACTGTTGAAGTTCGGCACTATTAATAAGATTGCACCCAAGTAACAATGGTAGAGATGGAGGAAAATCATGCATAATGTACTATTTAAAAAATAAATAAATAAGAGGACCTACTGGCAAAGCTACATTTTGTATTACTTCATTTGCTTCTTGTCAATGCACCCAAGTTTACTTATTTTTTTTCATTGGCATCATCAAAGTTTTTTTTTCCATCTCAAATATTTTTTTTCATTGGCATCATCAAAGTTTTTTTTTCCATCTCAAAAAAAAAAAAAAAAGTTGACCGTTCAAACATTTGGAATTAAAAACTTTCCTATAATAGAAAGCTCAAAATTTCAGGTAACCACAACCAGCCAGGGCAACATTATTTTTATTACATTTTGATTCAAAGTCGATCTGAGGTAGATCCATTGTAGGGCTGTTAAAAGTCTCGCGACACTTGGTCCTCTAATTTAACTGCTGTCAACCTGCATTAATTTTTTAACTAAGTAATGAAATATAGGGAAACCCAGTTAATAAATCACATAGATGCATCAACTGAACAAAGGGTAAAAGAATCATAAACACGAATTGAATTCTTTCCAATCATATTAAAAAATTCATGCTTATTGAATTAAAACAAGTTAGTAAACTCGACTCCTTTTCCAAAGCGGGTAAAGTGATATTAATAAGTTATCCCCATGTGCATGCCCATCTTTCCCATCCAAGCACAAGTCAAGATGAGCATGGGCGTTAGGTACACAATTTTTTATTTTATTTTTTTTTGGTGGAAATAATAAAATAACCAACCAATTTGAAAATAACAAGTTTGAAAATAAATTAAGAAATTGTCAGCAGATCTTCGAGCAAAGATGTTAGAAATCATAGAGATGGGAGAATTAATAAGTAAATCTTCAGTACAACGGGTGCACGACTTCAACTTGTATATCTTGATACATTTGAGCAAATGATACTACTTTTACGGGAAAGAAACCAATATATAGGGCTCAGAAAAATTAAAAGTTAATTACTATTAATTAGTTACACTAAAAAAAGTGTATACATATAGTGTATATTAAATTTTTCCAAATTAATGATGTGTTTTATTGAGTTAACGTTGTAAGAGATAGAAGGTGGATTTGTAAGTACTATCATAATAGACAGGTTGTTCCACAATTTTCCCACATTCATCCACAAAAATGAGTAATTAGAGGTGGATAGTTCTGAATTTCTACATCTACAAGCACGCTTGTAAAATTGGCCCTATCCTTTCATGTAGTACAACTATCAGCTGCAATTGGTTTGCCTAAAGTAGTAGCCGTGGAATTCAATCCAAACGGACACCTGCCTTTTTATGATTACATTTTCCAGTTTAAATAAGCTCACCAAAACAATTCTTTTCATGGAGGTTTAATTGTTTTTTTTTTTCCTTTTGACAGCATTTGTTTTGATATAATCTATTCATCTTTAGTAGCTAGCGCCTAGCAGGATAGTATCCTCAACACCACTCACCAGATGTCGGTCTTCCGACCATCACACCCCACCATCGCCAATTCCGGCCAACTTTATTCATGGTGTGAGAATTGACAATCTTTGTGCTTTCTTGACCGAAAATAACTATGAATATAACATTTCAAACTTTATTACACTTCACATTCTTTTTTATTCACTTTTCAAATCCAAAAAAAATAAATAAATAAAACAATATGTCTTCATACACATCTTATTTGTTTTTTTGGTATAATAAAAGAGGTAAATACCTGGTTACATTAAATTAAAAGTAGGAAATTTTGATCATATATAGATGGTGATTGGTGAACCGTACAACTGTTGTAATCCCGCTAATATTGAGAGTAGCCAAAAACGCCAAATAAACCCATCACAAAATTGAACTCACGGAAATCTTATCATAGTTCCTTAATCCAATCACAATTTAAGAAGTTCGTGAGCAGGAATAAGGCCATATTCGAATGCCTTATATCAAATGTTTTGCCCCATATTAATTATCACATATTGTCAATCAACCTATGCAACTACTTGGTGAATATATTTTTGTAATCTTGGTAAACTATATCACTCTCTTCATTAATACTTATATATAAGGTTTTTAATTTTTTTTTTATAATTATGTTCTTTATATCACACTTTTTTTTTCATTTCCAAGAAAGCATTTAATGCATTTTATTTTATTTTTTTTAAAAATGCCCCTACCTAAGTTTTAACTTATTGACAATTTTGATTTTAATAGCCACCATGATTCATTAATACTATTTTTTTTAAAAAAAATAAAGATTAATACTACCTAAATATGAATATCTCTTGTATTTAACAAGTTTAACCTACTATTTTTTTATAAAAAAATCAATTCTTTCTTTTCTTTTCTTTTTTGGTACAATAGAAGAGGCTAAAAAGCTCTCAAACAACTACATTACCTTCTAAATCAATTCCTTTTTTTTTGGGTACGAGACCCCGACAATGTCGTAAAATCAATTCCTTCTAAATAGTAACGGAGGAAGAACATCCTTTGAAGAATCCGGATTTGAGCCGGCATCAATCTATTATGACTAACTTTTCACTAGCATTCATTAATTTCTCAATCCCATAGATGATATTGTGGTATAGAGCCATTAGTTCAAGGACTCAATCGATATCACCATCAACCTTGAAATGCTTAAAATGTAAATATTTTACAACGTCAATTATGCGGTTTCAAACTTTCAACGCCATTTTAGTAATTTTATTTTTTATTTTTTTTTTCGCTTTTCCACAATTGTTTTCATTTTTTAGCGCTAAAAAGCCCTCTTCGCCCACACACACACAGTCACACACCATTTTCCTCCGGTCAGTTACTACTGGTGGCGTTCAAGACGTTTCCCCTCAATGCCCTCTCAATTCAGTCTCTGGACTAAAGTTATTTGAGGTATTTCACACTTTATTTTAAAGTTTCTTCTTCGAAATGTTGATTTTGTGAATTGAAGCTCACTGAGAATTTGATTGGGTGTGTTTATGTGTTGGCGCGACGAATTAATTTCATTTGTTAGCTTAGGGTTTCGGCCAATCAGTTTCTGTATTTTTGCTTCAATGTCACCTTTTTTTTTTAATTCGCATTTCGCCATGTACTTTTTAAGGTGAATTTGATGTGAGGTTTAATTAGTTTGAAATGCTTGTTCGGTGATGCTAATCAAAACGTAGGCAAAGGGAAAGCTTGATAGATGTGGAAATTTTTGGTCATGGACTTGATTGTTTCTAATTGAGATTGATTATTCTGGTTGAGCCTTCTGCTACTATGTTCTGTGGCCTTTTAATTCATCAAAATTAATAAAAGCATATTTTTGCACTTGTTGGAGTGACTCTAGACGTATATCGATGAATAATTTCAAGACATCAGGTTTTGCTGAAATCTATTCGTAATTTGGTTTGTCTTCATTTGCATTTAGCCAGAACTTCCGTCGAAGTATGCTGGGTGATGTATTAGCAGGGAGAAGGGACATATTTTCTGATGCTAGTTGATGGTCAGTTATGGCTTCGAAGGTTTCTTCTTCGTCAAATCTCCCGTGGACTTGGGCAATTGAAGCTTTGGCGTCCTCTAATAAAGTCGATACGTCTGCCTTAATTGGTTTGTATTTTTATTTTGGTTCTATAGACTGTTTACTTAAGTTGTAAGGGTTGGCTCTTTGATGTTTGGAGATTTGTCAAATTTCAGATCTAGTTAAAAGTGCTCCTGAAATATCTGATGATCTGGAGAAAAGTGTCAGAGAAATGGTTACCTTGAGAATTTTAGAGGGTCTGAGTACTGAGGAAATTCGAATTAGGAACAATGAGACCAGTCTCCAGGGTCAAAATCCAGAACTTGAAGCGTCAAACAGCCGTGAGGATGTTCTTCGACTCATACTGGAGGAGGTGCTGCAAATTTGAAGTTCTTGTTTTATTTGAACAATTTACTCTTTCACATTACGTTAATGTTGTTGCAAGCTCTTTGAATGATAGAGAGATATTTGCTAAATTTGAAACTATACTCATCGTGATTGTGATTTCAGATGTCCGCTGCAGATCCCAAATTAGTTGGACCAGATATGCAAAATTGGGATATTCAATCCTTTATTGTGCACAAGAGGACCTCCTTTCCTTTGCGAGCTCTGCAGAAGGTAAGAGATAATATTCACAAGGCAGAATGATGTTTCCTTCTTTCTGTCCCAATGACAGTTTCATGGTTAATGTTGAACAGCTGAAGGAGGCCATTCTTGAAGGTGGCCATTCTGTTCTTGCATCCTTAAAGGAAAGAAGTGGGTTGGCAATTAACCCTCAAAATGATAACAAAGCGGATGACGAAGAATCAGATGATGATTTGCGTGATAGACATTCAGTACCACCAGCTGAGACTAGTGCAGCTGCTACCTCAGATGAAAACTGTAGATTGCAGACCTCTGAAGATCAAATCACATCAGATGATGATTCAAGTGAGAAGGTTGAACAGGATTCAAATATTTCCAAAGGATTTGCAGTTGAAAATTCTATTGTGCTACCCCTACATTGGCAATCAACAAATGCATCTGACGGAATTATTCAGTGTACTGGAGAAGACAAGTTTCCTGCACAAAATGAAGTCGATGTTGGGCCGTTTAGCGTTCAAAACAGAAATGACAGGTTAGAAGAAAATTCTGAGGATATAAACTTGTTACCAGGTCAGAAAAACTGTGCTGCTACTTCTGAAAATCTGAAAAGATTAAGCTATGAAGGCAAACAGGCATTGGATGTGGGTGATGATTCCCAGGTTGGTGAAGATTTTGTTAAAGAGAACAGAGTTGACAGTCAAATAAATTCACCATCATATGCACAATCACTTAATTCATCTCAGCAAAGTCTTCCCTGTAGTGAAAAACAGGCACAGAACTTGCTACAAGTAAACAAGTTTGGATCTTCTGTCCCTCAAAATGAGGATGGCGAGTTCCAAAGAACTGCACAAAAGAGGAATAGGACCATTGTTCCTGTTGAAGATTTGGGTGATTCTTTTGAGACCCATGCTGAAGTTTCCAAGAAGTACAAGCAAGATACGAATGTTTCCGGAGGTAATGTAGCTGAGAATACAGCCTGTTCACCTATGCATGGAATATCAACAATTCCATCTTACATGAACTGCAACTTGCATAAAGAAGGCTGTATTGGGCCAGTAGATGGTGATGGATCTTTTCATGATAGTGTCTGCCGGAATGCTGAACCAAAGAGGCTTGCACAAAGCTGTGATGCAGATGAGCATTTGCCTATTCCTATGGAAATTGAGGTTGAGCTTGACGTGAACAAGACAGCTGAATTTCCTGCTGCATCGAGTGGCCAGCAAAATATTTTGAATGAACCAAAGGGACGCCGTGGATTTCTTGAACAAAGAACATTAAATCAGATATCATCAGGTGGGTTGGAGAAAGAGACGCAGCCTGAAAATGCCACCTATCTGTCGGAGGGTAATCTTCTTAGGAAGCCATCAAATTATGGTGAAGGCAAGGATGATGTAGTATACAGCCCTAACCTGGAAAAGACGAATGACAGTGATGAATGTAATGATGAAAGAATAGCTGCTGCCTTAAAGAAGGATAATCAAGATTCTTATGCTACACAGTCAAATTCTTGTATCAAGTGCGATGGAGACGGCGAATTATTAGTTTGCAGTTCTAGTACCTGCCAATTGATGGTTCATAGGAGCTGCTTGCGTTCTGCTGGGATGTTTGATGAAAATGGAAAGTTTTACTGCCCTTTTTGTGCTTACTCTCGTTCAATTTCAGAGTATTTACAAATAAAGAAAAAGGCTGCGCTGGCACGGAAAGATTTGGCAATGTTTATTGGCATGAAAACTGATTGTCAACCAGAGAAATCCTCTTCGAGAACAGAGGGAGCAATGCTTGGTCAGTTGAGAAGAAATGGTGAAATTGGTATAGACAATGAAGAAAATGATGAAGAACTGATAAACAGGGCCACAAAATCTCAGTGTATGCAAGACAGGCATCAAACAGAGCCTCCACAGAATAGTAATGTTGATAATTGCCTTCGTGGAAAACGAATGGTTTTAACTAATGGCACAGCAAGTGTGTCAGCAAAAAGAAACCTTGAAAAGGAAGACCTGGGACAGCAGCTAGGGGCTTCAGAGTTGGTTAGAACATCTGATAATGTCCGCATAAGATCCAATTCAATTGGCAGGAACAAGAGAAACAAGGAAATGCATGTGAAGAAAATTCGTGATACATCAAAGGTAACATTACCTTTTGAACCTCTGTCTCCATCAAATAACAAAAGCTCCAAAGATGATCATGAGAAATGTGCAACTTCAAGGTATTCAATGAGATCGAGAAACCAAGTTATACAGTAGTAAGTATCTCTTCTTTTTATTATTATTATTTATTTTTTTTTGGGGGGGGGGGGTGGTTGTTCTGGTATGATTATAGTGGCTTAACTTGTCGTTTTGTCTTGACTGTTTTATAATAATAATCTTTAATTATTGAGGTTCGTTGGATTAATTTGCGGAAATCAATCTCATTTGTTCACTAATGTGTGTGCTTGAATCAAAATTTCAAACAACCCATTGAACTTCCGTCGTTATTAATGATTTGACTAATGATGTTTTAATTTTGACAGTACTGATCTAGTGATTCCCCAACTAAGGCGGAAACCCTTGCCTTGGTCAAAAGAAGAGGAAGAGATATTAAAGGTGTGAACCTTTCTTGTTTCTAATTTCCTTCCAAAAGATGATACCATATGTGATAACTGATAAGTGAATGCAGAACAATTGTAATGTACCCTTGCCTATGATATTTCCCCAACTCTCTTTGGGTCGTTGCTAGCGATCGATAAGTTCTTTATTAACATTGCTCTCTTACTGCTGCTGCAGGTAGGGGTTCGAAAACTTACTACCATTCACGATAAAAAAATTCCATGGATGAAGATTTTGGAATTCGGAGCTGATGTTTTTGAAAAAGGACGCAGTGCTGTCGACCTTAAGGATAAATGGAGAAATATATGCAAAGGAAGTCCTGTATCACAATGAAGTCTTTTTTTGCCCAATCTATCTGTTCATGTACAGTTTCTTCTTCTTTGAATTTAAATACGTGCACCTAGCTGTGTTTTCCGTTTTAGACCTCTACATTTTTCTTCGTCTTATGTCCAACTTTCTAGTACAGATAAAATCATGAATGTTAGAAGTTCATCAGCTTTCAAGAATTTTGTCATTCCTGTTGTTTAGGCCTCTTTAGCTGAAATTGGCCTGGTGTAAGTTGTGCTATTTTGATGGCATTTAGGATAAATAGAAATCTAAAGACAATTCGGATAATCTAATTACAGTAAAACTGAATTAGAATAAACTTTTATAGGCCAATTTCCAAATGGAGTAATGATTTTTACTTCTTTCCATTCAACATCATTATTGACATACTTTTGTCTGATTTACAGTAAAACTGAACTAGAATAACAGTAATGAACCAAAAACCAATGACTTCATCACTGGTAAAGAATAAACTAAATTTGTACATAGCATTTTTAAACCCATAATGATGAGTTGTACATGATGAAGGAATTTTTATAATTCAAGCTCTTAATTTTCGTAATTACACGGAAATACTATCATCGCGTCATATTGTTCAATGTCAATTACATGTCCTCAAATTCCCCGAGGAAGAATGAGACAGAAGATGGATTCCCATATGGAATGGAAGACGGACTGCACATAGAATTCCATATCCATAGTCCATAATATGATGATAATAACGGGGATGAAGGGGAAGTCTGGGATATGAAGAAGCTGTGAATTGTCAGATAAACATGTGAATTCTCTTGGAGCCTCTCTCGTGACCCTCAAAATTGTTTGTGAGGTGATTTTTGTCTTCTTCTTTCTTTTTATTTTTTCACCTTCTTTTGAAGTAAATTTTGGTTTTCGATACGCCACCAATGTCATTCATTCGTGAATTGGCCGCTTGAATCCGTAACCAAGTTTTGGTAAATCTACTTGGAATGAATGATACAATTTACGAATTGAGTAAGACTCCAAATTTATGAACCAAGCAACTCAATTCAAGTGAGTTGCATCAAACCTATTTATGAAGAGTGAAGACTCAAAAGTCAAGAAATTGGTACCACCTAGAAATTAAGGACAAGGGCACAAGAATCACACTCTTGCAACGGGCTTGAAAATCGAGTGGATTTAAACTGAACTGAACGAATTCTCTACCCCCACCGCCCCTCAAAAAAAAAAACAGCATTTTGAGCTTCTTGAGTGCCACCAATTAATGCTCATGTACGCATGGTGAATTTGGGGCTTCAAAAATATACTTACTTCCTCCCAACCCTTTCTTACTTCCTCAAAAATATACTTACTTCTACATTTTCATGATACAAGACTTTGCCCATGAAATTTAATTTATTATATCTCTGAACTTTTGAAGCTTACTGAAAATGTAAAACGATATTTTAAAATAGGACATTTATTAATAAAAAAAATTCGGAAAAAATAATTGATAAACCACCTAAGCAGAGCCTAAACGATTTGTCTTATTTGAATTTTCATTTTGGATCGGAGAGATTATAGTGTTAGATAAAGGATGATCCCACACGTCTTTATATTCTTTCGCCACCGATTGCTAATACACTATAATAGCTTTTTTAATCTTCTTATGTTCATTTAGGTTTAATACTATATTTGAAATTCTAGCATTTCCTTAATAACGTGTTGTTCAAAACCAAAAACACTAGTTGAAAATCATCCCTTGTCAGCCTTAACTGTAACTATGAATGAATAATTAGTGTATGAGATCAAGATATGCAGATAACAAAAGATAAAATTTTAAAAACTAGGAAACTGATATATTGGCCAAGATAAAAATGATGGGGAAAGGACAAAGGCCAAACATGATCATTTGTGATGTAAAACTAAAAAACCTTGGATGCTTTAGGTTAGGAGCAGAGTTCATTTCATGCACCATGTTTTCTCCATGATAAGAAGCACGAGTCAAGTAAACTTTTTTCACATGCACCATTCCTTCTCATACTTATCATGCTTCTTATACGTGCACTCTCCTAGCTCATTCAAACACTTGTAAATCTTACTATTACCATTTGCAAGAATCCAAAGAGAAAAAGAAATAATTCTGAAAGAGAGAATTGCAAGAAAAAAAAAAAACTCAAGAAATTAGCCCAAGAGATTAGGTTATCAGAAAACGGATAATTTAAACAGATACATATCTCGGATTAAAGTTGTGAACATGTCACATAGTTCTTTCCAAGACCAAGAGTAAACACACGGTATCAAAGAAAAAAAAAAGAAGTAACATAATGTCAAGAAACTTCAAATTTCTTAAACAGTTTTTTTGAAAATCAAATATCGATTAATTTGAATGTAATATGAATATATCATGATTTTTTTTTTTTAAAAAAAAAGGACTCAGAATAATGTGATCTTCCAGTGTTCAGAGTGGTCTAGTATACTATCTACTGGGCTTAACGGTCACATGGGCTTCAAAAGTTTTTCCACCAAAACGTGACACCATTTAAACTATTATGCAGAACTCACGCACTCTTTACATATATATCCCGCGCCTTAGACAACAACATTCCCATGCAATATTCTACTGCAAAACTGATCAAAACACTTGCAGTAGTAACTCAAGCTACTCCCTACGTTTCGTAAACATATCGTATGGATAGTTATCGAAAATCGACGTTAAAGCCATGGAAGAAAGGTCCTGCCAGAGGTAAAGGAGGGCCACAGAACGCGACATGCGAGTATCGAGGAGTTAGACAGAGGACTTGGGGTAAATGGGTGGCAGAAATCAGAGAACCAAAGAAGAGAACAAGACTCTGGTTAGGGTCTTTCGCGACGGCAGAAGAGGCAGCCATGGCGTACGATGAAGCTGCAAGGAGGTTGTATGGGCCGGAAGCTTACCTTAATCTTCCGCATCTGAGATCAAATTTCAACCCTCTGAACAAATCCCAGAAGTTCAAATGGTTCCCTTCAAACAGCCTTATTTCGATGTTTCCTAGTACCGGTTTACTGAACTTGAATGCCCAGCCAAGTGTGCATATCATTCACCAGAGGCTAGAAGAACTCAAGAAGACAGGCTTATTGTGTCAGACATCCTCAGCAAGCTCATCATCAAGCAATCCCCAAAATGACATGGATTTTGTGGATAATCAGCCCCATGCAGAAAGTCTCATCGTGAAGTATAATGAAGTGGAGCAGTCTACCCAGCACAAACCGCTGAATCAAGAACAGAAGCCTCAGATCGATCTAAATGAGTTCCTTCAGAAAATAGGAGTACTGAAAAATGAAGATCAGACTGATGCAAGTGAAAGATTCTCAAACTCCAAGGAGAAAGATTTTTCCCATGATGGAGGACTTGCTGCGTTTCCTGAACAGATTTTCAACTGGGAAACACCAAATGAAATATCGGGAGTTGAGGACAATCAAATAATGGAGTGCAGCAGCTTTCTTACAGAGAGTAACGAGGAACTAAGTTTTCCAGCCTCTATTTGGAACTTTTGAGGGCGAAAGTGGCTGCTATTTTTCCACAGTTCGGTGAAGTGCTAGTCAGCTATACTAAGCTCTGAGACTTGAGTAAGAAGAGGAGGCACTGGCAGGACTCCTATTCAAGAAACAGACAAGCCTTTGGTTCTTAACAAGGATAAAATGTTATGTAAATGCAGAAGTACGACAAGAGGAAGATATAGCTAAGTCCAGTAGCAGCAATGCATTCGTATTACTTGCAGTGATACGAATTGCCACCAAATATTGCTAAGTTAGTCACTATATACATACGTAGTCTATAAGTTACATAGATCAGTTTTGCCGTCCGAGAACTCTTAACAGTTACTCTCGGTTTTTCATCTAAATCATAAGCGATGGCTGGTCACAAAACCTTCCAAGATAATCTTACCTAGTATTAAGAGGTGATACCATTATATAAATGGTATATCTTTTCAAAGCCAAGAGGCAGCATCAATGTTGTCAAATTAACTGTGCAAAAACACATAACTACAAAACACATAAAGATAGAGCTGAAGGATATGCCCTCATGATGCTGAAATGGAGATGCGCAGCGCAACATCACATGTCTGGATTGTCATTCAGTTGAGCATCTTGCCACAGTCCATTAACCAAAGTCATTAAATGAGCTATCCTTTACTCTGTTAAGGAAGCATTGCTTAATTGTAGTAAGATCAGAAAGAGAAGTGATAGAGGTCAAAACACAATAAGAAAAAAACCAGCCAGTAGCGTTAGCTGAAAGAGTCACTTTATGACCTCGTGATTCAATTTGTAAGAGAACTTCGTTCAGCTTAAGTTTGAATTGGCCACAAGGAAACCATGTAATCTTCTTCTAATCTATTCTGTGATACTGCTTCATAACATCAACGTCCAACTGCTTCAACGAATCATAGAAGGGACAATTCCATGCATCTATTCACTCATTCATTTCAATATTCTGAAGCACTCAAGTATTCAGCATGTTCTTCAAAGTATTCGATCATGCGTTTCAAAAATTTATCACTGCTCACAGTCTCAGTGTCACAGACAACACAGCACTGCCTCCTTGCTCTTGTCACTGCAACATTCATTCTCCTGTGGTCGCTCAAAAATCCCACCTAGCCAAGAATATTCTACAGTTTTAACTCTGCGGTATTTGAGAAGACAACCAAACCAAAAAGGTGACCCAGAGAAAACAAGATACCTCTTTCTTTGAGTTTGATCGAACCATTGAAATGATAATGGCTTCTTTTTCCCGACCCTGAAAGCCATCCACAGTAGAAATCTCAATGTTTTTAAGTTTGTCATCATTACCTCTCAACATCTTCAAGAACACTATCTGGAAAATGAAAAAGAATCTTAAGCTCATATAAATTATAACCCTTTCATTCTCACAGAATATGAAATTGTACATTCTCAATGACAAACCAACACCTGTGCAGCATAAGGTGTGATTATCCCAATATCTGATGCTTGGACTCCACTCTGAACAAGTCTCTTTGCATGTGCTATTGCAACCTCAGCTTCACCCTCATTCAACGTGCTATCTTCCTCATCTTTCTTTTCTTCCATATCACAACTGTACAATACAGAATAGTAAATTGGCACCATAACTTCTTCTAGATTTACCATGGATATAAAATGTTATACAGTAAATTTGAAAGCGTTACTACAAACAAAAAAAATCAGTAAAACACACAAATATGTTACAACTCCTAGAAAAAAAAGGCTCCCATGCACTGTGCTTAGAGTATAGGTTTCATTATCATATTTCCATATTTCCCCAAAGCCAGAACTTATCTTATACAACAGAGATTTTTAGACAGATAGTTGAACTTTACACAGTTTACTATGAAGGAATGACCACCATACAAGTCTCGTACAAGAACGTTGCAGCAATTAGAATCGTACCCAGCTGTGTCTACAAGAAGAAGAGTTGGCTCTGTCACAGTGGACTTAACCACGCCATCGAGATTATAGAGCTTATGCGTAGCAACACTTGGATGGGCTTCAATCTGCAGCAAAGACAAGAACATCAGAAACATTGTCAAATAACTACTATCGTTTTCATAGCACCAGAAGAAACCATAATATATAAACTAATGTAGATTTTATAGTTTGAAATAGTTATTAAATGGAACCAGAAGAAAAAGTTTAGCACCTTACTATCATAGAGCTCAGCTGATGACCAATTCATAATATGTTCATGCATGCGGTACTGAACGGTGAGCATTGACATGACCTCCTCTCCATATAAATCGGCAAGTCGTTCAAAAAGTGTTCTGCCAAGTCCTTTCTTCTCAGCATCAACACTTTGGATGGTGGGAGGAAGTTGGAGGTGATCACCAGCAAGAATACACCTCGATCCCTGAAGTATCAAAACCAGTTTTCTTAGTCAAAGCTGCTGAGTTCTTTTTATCTTTTCCAACTTCTCAATAATATAATTTTATTGTTAATACTAATTATAATAGCTTTAGGAACCACACAAACACGCCCGCCACCAAATAAAGAGCTGAACTGGTGTCTCTTCATCCATGAGGCAAATACATAGTCAAACGTTAAGTAATCTTATTATGACATAAAAATCACCATGCTCCAGCCTACCGATGATTTTAAAGCCAAGCAACAGTTTAGCAACCACAACCACGAAGTAACAAGCACCGATTAAACATATTGGACTCCCCAAAGATTCTGAGACTCTATCACCAATTACATCCTAATCTGGACAACATTATTTCTCAGATGCCACTCTCTCGTTATATTGGTAAAATAGGAGTTCAGTATCAATAAAATCAAAGAAAAGTATGGCTCCCTGGCAGGAGCAAAAGTCAATTAACACTACATCATCTTCTGAGCAAATATAGATCTCAGGATCTGCTTATAATCTGAATTTCACTGACAATCATCCTGTATTTCTTAGCAAGAAATGTACACTGAATCTTCGAAAAGGTCCAGATCCATTGTCATCACGGGGAATTTTTACGTAGAAGATAAAAGCTGAGACAATGGTTCCTTAAGAAAATACTAGTTATTTGAAGTTGGACATGGAGGATAAAATTTTATTTGAATTTGAAGTTGTCATCACCAGGCATGTTCTACTTTGAGACAATTATCTAAATTACCTTCAACAAAGCAATCCAGCATGCAATTTCAAGAGCTTGAGCAGCTTCGTCGATGATAACCAAATCAAATGAACTACCATCCAGTTTTTTAGATAATGAGCCTGTTAAGGTTGTCAACACTACATCAGCATTTTTCAAAACATCTGTGACTGCCAACTGCTGCCTTTTTCGTTCTTCCTTGGATAAAGCCTTAAGCTCCCTCCTGATATCCCTTTTTGTGTTCCGATCTTTGGCTTTTAAGAGTTTCCCATTTAGTGCCTGTCAAAAATACAATTCAGATATGCAAAGAAAGAGAAGAACAAGCAACCACTGGACAGAGAAAAGGAAAAACACAAAAACACAAAGAACGACAACAAGAAAAACAAGGAAAACAAAATAACAACAGGATCTCACATCCATTTAAATCAATGTCATCATCTGCAGTATCTTTTGATGGAAAATACGAGTGAAGTATCTTTTGATGACAAATATGATAAATTTCCTAACATCAAGGAGACTTTTTTGCAAAAAGAAATTGATATGTCTTTAAGTTGAGAGACATGTAGGTGGTTGTACACAAAACAACAAATATAGCACAAGATGCAACTCCAGATATACTATCAAAATATTTTGCTCGAGTTAAGACAACCTCAGAAAAAGACAAATGTGAAATACATGATTGAGAATTAAAATGGACTGTAAGGGGGGTTTCTACCAAAAGAAAAGGCACATCAAAAGTTTGACTACTTGCAAAATGTGATGGATTTCGTCAAATGTTGAATGGTTAACTGAAACAAAAATACAAAAAAAAGAGAGGCATATGCAAGCATCTTTTCTCAGTCCTAGCATGGACATAGAAGAATGTTTTCACAAACACATTAGGATCACATATCTGGCAGAACACCATAGGAGCTATACGTAAACTAACTCAATCTTCTATAGCACCATGTACTTTCTTCATGCAACCAACAAGGCACTGTACTGCTACGCATGACATGCATTCTAGATGAGAGAAACATTGGGTAGTAAATATTGACCTTTTCCAACTCCCAGTCATTGGCATATGGAATCATCACACCATTATCTTACACCATCAAGAGTAAGGTCAAATAACTGGCAGCTTACACTACTAAAGCCAATAATTCATTTTCTAAACCCTTAAGATTTGATGAATACAAATGAATACAAACTTAATATGGGAGGTATATTGCTTTGAGGATTGTCTTAACTTGGCATTATGAGAGAATACCACATGTAAGACGCAATCTTGAATAATATCTATTAACCATTGTACGCATAAGCATTCACCAACTAAGTTTCTAGCAATCAACCAAGAAATAGTTCTGATGGGATCCTTTTGTTGGTTTAGTTTGAAAAGTTACAAGTTAGAGTCTAGAACCAAGCAGCGCCACAGGAATTCGCTGTGACCAAAATCTTCAAAGTGATATGGTAATTATGATGTAATTTTATAATCAATATTAAAGCATTACCTTCATCTCTTTGCGAATGTCATTGGCAAGGGAACTATTATCACCGCGAAGGACCTGCAGAAAACATCTCAATCAGGGGCCAGAATCAAATTTTCCAGGGGAAAAAAGAAAAGAAGAAAGGAATGGAGGGAACAAACGTAAGTCAGAGCTCAGATGCTCATGTTAGACATTTCATGTACATATTTCACATAGAAGACAAATGGAAAAGGTACCTGGGCATCGAGAGCACTCTCTAAAACTTGGGGGAGTAAACGAGCAGGATGGCCCAATCTGACCAATTTTACCCTGGCAAATACACGGACAGAGGTAAAAGATTAGTTCAGAATTATTACGGATGAAAAAGTACAAAAAGAAAAGCATATCATGATTTATCCAGAAATCCTAAACAAAACATTACCCAAGAATATCCAGTAATATGATTCACTATATATTGATCATATTGGGAATAAGATATGCAAATAGCCAGAAGGTTTTGGAATGCACTCGTTCAAATAGAAGTCATCTAGATAATAGTTGAATGCAAACAAATAATGTCGGTTCAACGAGGAGATACCAAACTCCCTTGATTCCATTTTGACACCTATAAGCAAGATGCATTTAAGGATTCTGTATTAGCTAGAGCCACAGTTGCAGTTATCGCCAAAGGAACAAGATCAACGTGAAATCAAACAATTTAAAATAGGAAACAATGACTTGGCAGAGAACTATCTCGCCTTAACTCTAACAAGAAAAAAGGGAAATCTTGCGAGTAATTAGAGTGATTGTTGGTGTTTAAACATATTCAAAAATACTAAATCCAGTAGCCGACAACAGCACCCAAGCAACACAAAGGATTTAAACAAATCAAATTAGACAGAGACAGTGACATCTTAAACGAGATAGGGCCCCATAAATGATTAAGGCTTAAGAGCAAACTCTATGCAAATTGAAAATATAGATTAAGCATATTCGAGGAAAACCACAAGATTAACATCTTAAACCTCACAGGGTATTTACTTGAAGGAGCAAGTACACCAACAAAAAAGACAACCTCTCTCCAAAGTTCAATGGACAAAAAATTTACCTATGCTGAGCAAGCCGTTCAACTATGTTATCCACGGCAATATTTGAAGCAGCGCAAGCGAGAACCTTCGATCCACGTTTCACTTCTTGCAAGATAATCTCCACAACAGTGGTGGTTTTCCCTGTTCCAGGAGGCCCATGCAACAAAAATAGATCCTTGGAGGCAAGAGCCTTTGAAATAGCATCTTTCTGAGAAGCAGGAAAAAATGAATTTTCAGTTTGTGCGTGAAAGAGAAAAAATACTGAATGCATGTTTGGTGCTTGAAATAAGAATTATGTTGTAACTGGAGATGGTATCTGTAGAGCTATAAAACAAACACTATTGAAAAATTGCTCTGATTCTAAGCAAAATGCATATCTAATATGAAACCAGACTCAGAAGGTATAAAAAGAGGGGAAAAAAGAAAAAGTGAAAATCATGACAAGAAAGGCAAGCTAGCTCAGAATAACTAAGCAGAAAGACATTAGTTTCATGGTTAAGAGCAAAATCTTCTTAACCCCAAAAAGAGTATAAAATCTCTAGAACAGAGATTTCATCCTCCAGTAAAACAAAATAAAAAGGATGTTTCATGAAAACATTATTAAATGCAAAGAAAGCATCATGTGCAATCCTGACTCAATGTTCTTGAATACAAGAAGCTTCCAAGAGGATTGGAAAGTATAAGCTACAGTGCTATCCAGGGAGAACATAGTATGCAACTTTAGAAAATAATGCTCACAGATGATAAAAAGGCAGGTGTTTGAAGTAATAAAGGTACAGCTCCTGAACCTGAGAATGATCCAGATTTGAATTAAAGAGGGTAAACTTGACATCCTTCTTGGACAGTGATGGCGGTCTTTCTCCAAATAAAACAGGAACCAAGTCGGAAGCAGGGCCCCTTTGCACTCCCTTGCTCAATTCTACCAATGTGTCTTTCATACGGCGATAAGTGACCTTCAAAATGATAGGCAGTAGCAAACAGTACATTGTCAGAAACAGAACACTTATCCACTTCCTAATTATCATAATGAAAGATATTCTAAATTCATGATTACAGAAAATCATATTAAGCAAGTTCATTCACAAGAGTTTATATAGCAATCAGCAACTACTGAGCCTTACCACTGGGGTCAGCTACAAAAAGAATATGTAGTCATCATTCCCTGTCAACAAGCATATTTTCATTTGAGTATAAAATTGTGTCTGTTTTGAAAGTTTATTTTCAAGCGTTTTTATGTCTTCACCTTCGCCCTTTAATTCAAATTAGTCCATTCATGGCTACCATTTCGTCAAAAATTAAAATTAGATTCACAATTTATTTTCAAGTATATTGACATTTTAAATAAAATTGAGCAATAATGTATGTATAAAAATCTTCCACTGAAAGGAGAAAAATTAAAAGTAAAACATATTGTTTTTCTAGAATTTGATCAATGCTTCCATGCAATTTTTTTTTCTTGGCGTTCCATGCAAATTGTTACTACTGGAACAAATTAGAACAGGGTTATCTTCAAAAAGCACCTCATTTGCCAATTTCTCTAGGCGCAGTGGACTATTTAGTCCATCTTCTGGTATGTCATCGAATGCCACAGTAATAGATGAATCCTGATCAACAACAGAACTGTTATGAGGGTTGGACCAATCCCACCAACTATATATACACATAAAAGGTCCAAGTTTGAAAGTTTTAAAATTGACAACAGAGCATAACAAGAGTACCTTAAGTTGGTAAACCACACCCTGGCCAAGAGAAGGAGAGCTGACATCAGCTTTGTTTGGTTTTAGAATTACAACATCATGGGGACCAAACTGCAGACGCAGATCATGAGAGGAATTTGTTAGGAGAATACAATAAGTGAACCTAACAGGAGAAAAAGGTAACAACTATACATTATATGAAAGTGTTACAGGACATCACATAAGCTATGGATAGGAAAGCAAAACCAGAGTTAAACCCAAAGATTTCAAATCAGGCAAAGAAAGAATATATTGTCACAGTGAACAAGTTTGTAAAGCATGATGCCCAAATAAAGGGAAAAAGTCAATAATGCTTGATGAATAAGTACAAACGTGGTAAAAAAAGAAACATCAGATACACAAATCAAATTATCATCGTTTATTCACCAATATCAGACATTTCTTTATGCGGGGAGGGGGGGGGGCGCGGGTGTTGGTTGTTGGGGGAGGATGGAGAAGACACCCAACTGAATCCATAACTTGAGACTGTTTATAGGAATTTCTTTTAAGCATGGTTCCCTTCCCTGTTATTTAGCTAACTTGCGTCTGATGAAATAACTAGTTACATGTCGTGACTACAGCGAAAAACACCAAAATCCATAAACCAATTGCAAGCTGATTGGGCCTCAGTTAGACCCAAGTGCTTTGAGAGAGGGTTTTCGTAGATAACTGGAATCGATATAATGCCACCACCCTCCCCTCAACATCTCAACGTGAGAAGGATATGAAGCAGAAAACCAGTCCACACAATAAAGTCAATAGTATGAGACACATATAGCCGCCACCCCACCCCCTCCCCCCGGCACATAAACGCACTTGACACGTAGAAAAACAAGAAACTAACTATTGTATGGTACAGAGATAATTATAGTAAAAAAGAATTTGTATATGATCACATACTTTGTGAGGAGGAAGAACATCGCCTTTATTGGATTGTAATTCAAGAAGACTCTTGCCCATTAGCCCTGTCTACAGAGAAAATGCATCATAAAAAATTCCAAAGAACAGATAAATTACAAACACTGCTTGCATATGAGAATTCAGGCAACCATAAACAAACAGAAAAGACTGAATTCACAAAATATTAAGGATTCTACGCGAAAAGGAAGTAGCATCAAGTTAATACCTGAACATCTACACACTTCAAATTTAAAATGGTGGATCCCTTCTTCTGAGCGACGTCCAAGCTCCTTGTTGCACCCGAGCTCATGGAAGCCGATATCTCTGCTTCCTTTTAGAATCAAATAAAGCATATTGTAAGATTAACATGCAACTATAGCAAAATCAAGACCAGTCTGGTAAGCCCCATTAAACCCACAAGCAGGCAAATAGAGCTCATTTTATTTGTAAGCAGTGAGCAACATCAATGGAAGTTCTCATACAGCATACATTAATGTTACAGTTAAACAGACACAACATTCAATCATAATTTCCATCCACCGAGGAAATGAAAAAAGCATTGACTTGAGAGTTGTTTTCGGGTTAATGAAATTGAAACTCTTGGTTCCTTGAAACTAAATCCCGTTTACAATATCCCAAGTTGAAGGAATGAGTGGGTTCGTAAAGCTGGAAACTACATCAAAGAAAGCAGGTTCTACTGGTCCCTAATTCGGATTAAAAGGGCATTGTCAATTTCTTCTCAGTTCTCAGTATCGTTTAATGCACCTCAATCACTGCTTCAACGTAAAAATTGTTTCTTGAGGAAACAGCCATTCGACTAAAAACTAACAATCTTTAGTGGAGACCCAGAGACGAATAGTCCAGTGAAAATAAAACCCACAAAGTCTGATTCTGAAATGAAACGCAATTTTTGGAGGAAATCGTCACCAGGAAAGAGTGAGACAATCATTCAAAGAGCATACCTTTTCCATATCGATTAAAGGGGCCATGATGGAGACGAATTGCTCCAGCGTTATAGCCTTGTTCTTCTTCTTGTTACTACTACTCTTTCCTTTATCCATATGGCCTTTTCTCGCTGTGCCTCTGTGTTTGTTCTTTCACCGCGACGATATGCAAGCGGAAGAATTCAAATAAGCTCTGGGTTTTACAAGGTTTTTCAGTATATACTTGTTTATATGTTCAACAAATATAGTTCAAATAATAATCCTCCGCGAGAACTAAAAAGAAATTTTAGGCATTGTTTGGACAAAACAGACCCTAAGGGCTAATGTTTTAAGGTCGTTTACGAGATAGTTTCGAGTCTAACATAGGCAACTCGAAAGAATTGCGATTAACCCGATTTTGGCAAGGTATATCGATTAGATCATGTTGGCAGCAGCAAGACAGGAGCAGAGGAGGCGTAATGCATTACAGTGAGAGTGGAAGACTAGTTGTAGAGAGTTAGGATGATGTTGCTGCAGACACACAAGTTCACAAAACATTCAACCAAACGAAATTTTGTAAAATTGAGCAAACATTCTTGCAGAAGGAAGATGTAGTTTATTTCAACTTGGCACCCTGCTGAAGATAAAACTAAACTACGAGCCAGTTAGTGCTCCTGTCAAGAGCAGAATACAAAATGAAGCTCTAAGATGAGATTTTCCCCATCAGTAATATGAAGCTACCGGAAAAGTGTCCTGTGAATAAGAGCTGAGGCCACTTCGTCGACGACCATGGTTCTAGACAGAAAGAAACAGCTGCATCCGGGGTTCAAAAGAGTCACCAGCCTACAAAGATAAAGGGATCCGATAGTAGCGGAAAAACTCATGACAGCCTCCAGAAATGGTTACAAAACCTTTACAACATTCTTTATGTTACCAAACTAACAAACTGCTTAAACCAAAAATCAAGCCCCCCAAAAAAAGGGAGAAATTAATCCGGCCATGTCCTTGACAGAGAATTGTATCAAGGCGACACAAGCACAAGCCCAAAAAATCATTTGTATATGAGGGCATCACGTCCTGGACCGATACCAATGTAGTGGACCGGTACTCCAACAAGTTCTTCTATCCTTTCGACATATTGTTGTGCAGCCCTTGGTAGATCCGAGTAGTTTCTGACAGAAGAAATATCACACTGCCACCCCGGCAAAACTTCATATTCAACCTGATTCCATGAAAGAAACAAAACTTAGTTATTCAAGATGGAGAGAAGTAAATGAACAGCAATCACTATCCAGGCACAAGTGATTACGGGAGTGAACCAAACAAATTTCTGCAGCATAACTCACATTCAGGGTCAGAAATAACCACTACTGTATGCAACTTTTATATTGTCAATAAGTTGGATATTTGTTTTTATATTGGTATGAAGAAACCAAATTGTTTACATCTTTCCCTCTGTCAACTCAGATGAGAAAGTGCAGGCCTCTTGCCTTCCGAGAACAGTGTTCCGAGATCATTTTTTAACGGCGTAAATGCCAATTTTCTCACAGCTATGTAGGTGGATCAGTTAATTCTCCCTAACAATATGAAGTATGCCACTGTAACCATAAGTCTAAGAAGCCTAAAGTACAACATGAAAGACAAGGATCAAGTTTACCTTGATTTGCTCCAAAAGACGAAGATCAGCAGGAAATGATTTAACTGGCGTGCCATCAACCTGATAAGCAACACCTAACTGAATTTCAGGAAGGTCTGACAAAACATCAAGTTTGGTGAGGTTCAGTGCAGAAAAACCATTGATTTGGCAGCTGTATTTCAATGCAACAATATCAAGCCAACCACATCGACGAGGGCGGCCAGTTGTTGTACCAAACTCTTGTCCAGCAAACCTAAGAAGGTCACCACCTTTTCCCAAGATTTCAGTAGGAAATGGGCCAGAACCAACCCTTGTGGTGTAGGCTTTAACCTAAATTTGCACAAACAAATGAAGATTAAAATTTCCCTCCAAAATTGAACACTTCTCAACAAAAATACTGTTGGAAAGGCATAACTACATGCATAAACAATTTGAACAGCCAAATATATCACCCAATACACTCCAACCTACAAGGTGATATGTTAACATAGCATTCTACATATTGTGTAGGTGGCATAATATTCCCTCGTCAAAATTTGTCCAAGCTCTAACGGACAAAAATAGGTCCGAATTTTTTTGAAAAGCAATGATCAAAGCCAAAAAAAAATCTTGAACACTCCAAAATCTATAAATTTGCAAGGCATGGAGGCTATCTAAGAATTTTATCTGTAACTATAATATTCACAAATTTGAAAGGAAAAACAGCTGAAAAAGTATCATGAAGCCATTTATGAAGAAAACATAATCCACTTACCACTCCAATAAGATCACCAACTGCTTTAGGTGCAATCCCAAGACCGGTACAGATCCCACCAGCTGAAGGACTAGAAGAGGTTACGAAAGGATAAGTTCCAAAGTCAATATCTAACATGGTTGCCTGACCGCCTTCCACCAAAACCTTCTTTTGTTGAGAGATGGTTTCATTCATGAAATGCACAGTATCAGTAATATACGGTTCCAACCTCTCAGCATATCTCTTGTACTTCTCAACTTCTTCCCTGAGCATTTCAGGGCCATAGTTAAAACCTTGGAACCTTGAAGCTGCATCTGATAATAAAAGATCAAGCTTCTGGGGAAAAGTATCCATGTGCCTTAAGTCACTTACTCTTATACCATTACGAATAACTTTGCTTGAATAAGCAGGCCCAATGCCTCTTCGAGTAGTTCCAATAAAAGATTTGGCAAGCTCAGCTTCTCTAAGTCCATCAACAATTTGATGCAAATCAAATAACAAATGAGCACGATCTGAGACCAAAATCCTTCCTTCGCAAGAGACTCCATTAGATTCAAGGCCATCTATTTCTTTAAAGAATCCTGGCAGGTGGATCACCACCCCATTACCAATCACACAGGTAGTTTCCTCATTCAGAATTCCGGAAGGAACAAGGTGCAGAGCAAACTTCTTTCCTTCTGAGTTATAGATAGTGTGTCCAGCATTAGCTCCACCCTGCAGTTAAAATACAATCAAAATACGATGTTTTTCTCCCAAGATGAAGAAGCAGAAGCAGCACAGGGCTCAAGCATTGCTAGATTACTCGGCATTTCCACGATAACAGAATAACTAAAAGTTTATTCAGAAGGATGCACAATGACGTCGCACTTGCAGGTGGCTTTGGAGTCCACCACAACAAATATACATATAAGACTCCATGACAACACTAACACATACAATCAAGGATCTTTGATCATGCCTGTAAGAATACATAAGTCCACATCACACAGGAAGACAAGTAGCATGCTGAAATAAATACTGCTAAAAGACGGCGTATCGTGGGATTAAGCTGCATGGTTTCTAGTAACTACTAACGAGTATCATCTTTGGATATCAAATAGAAGCCATTAATAGTGCATTCAGAAATTCAGCTATGCTAGAATAACACACCAGCATATTCTATACACACCCAGAAGTTGTTAATTGAACTTGCTCTGTACTTTGTCAAACTTATGCCAGCATTTCCACATTATTGATCAGCACTTAAAACTGGTTAATTACTTCTACGAAATAACAGTGAAGAAGAATCCATGAATCCAAGCCGTACAGCACTAATTATAAAGAAATGAACCTTGCCAATCTATTCATAAGCTCTACAATATGATCAACTCAAATTAAAGAAGGGAAAAAACTTCAAATATCTGATTAAAACACAGAAACCCATCTCAAAAGGGGAAGAAGAAAAAAAGGAAAAGCAATCCGTAACAATTGAGAGAGATTAAAACATTTTAGCAATGATAAAATGGGATTAAGAAACCAACGCTGCATAAAAGTGAGCATGTATTTATACCTGGCAACGGGCAACGACGTCGAAATGCTTGGCCAATATATCGACGAGCTTCCCCTTACCTTCATCACCCCACTGGCAACCCAGCACTCCAGAAACCTGACTCAGCGACTCAATTCTACCCAGAGCACTCGACCCAGACTCACCCACCACCTTCTTCTGGTCTTTCTCCGCCACAGCTCCCACGGGCTTGGATGATGCAGAGCACGTTATTGCAGAGGAGGCCGGGAACTTCACAAATGGTTTCCTAACTCCAAGGAGCCCATTGACATTTGCTGCCCTTTTGTGGTTAGCGAATAAAACCGCAGCTGAAGACACCGCTGCTCTGCTGGAAATGGGATTGGACTCAAGTCCAAGAGAAGAGCAGGAGGAGGAGGAGAGGTTCATGGCGGCGGCGGGGGACGGCGGTTATAGTGGTGACGAGGAAGTGGACTGCGAACGAAGAGCTATAAGAGGGGACACAGACTGAAAGACGAACAGAGGGTTTTGTGGGGAGATATTCTTTAATTATTTTTACTAATTTGGCAGGCGAAATGGTTAAAAGTTTTTCTTTTCTTTTTATAATCAATCCACTCTCTAGTCTCTATAAATTAATAACTAGATGCTTGTCCCGGGCGAATGTGCGGGGTGTCGCCTATATTTTTAAATTAATTAAATAAAAAATATGAATCATTCTTAAAAAAATAGAAAAAATAAAAGAATAAAAAATCGATTGAAAGGACAGAAAGTGAGTTATTACACATAAATCTATGTCCAGATTTACAACATTTAATTTATAACAGTTAATTTATGCCCGGATTTACATAAATCATAAACCAATATCTGCAACAGAAGAATAAAAAAAATCATCCTTAAAAAATCAAATTTCTTTCATGACAGCTTATTTTTTCTCTGTTGTAGAAAGAGATGGATTGATAATTGATGTCAGATTTTAAGTAATTGATTTAAAGGCCCGGGTGTGTGAGAGGAGCGGAAAGGAAGAGATTCTTTGAAATTGGGAATTAGGAAGACATTATTGGTGTTTCACTTGATTTAAAGAGATTTCCTTACATTTGATTTTATCAACTAAATATTGTTGTTTTAAGGGATTAGTATATACCTATAATTAAGATATTTTTATGTTGCTATAATTAAGGGATTTATGTATTTATCTATTATATCTTTTTTTTTCTGATTAGTTAGAGTGCCACGTGTCAAAAATGATTTTGTACTGAAAATGGCTTTTGGCGGGAAAATTTTTATTGTTGTGCTAACACATGTCCTTTTTGTTTGCTGCTTTAATTAAGTACTATAGATGCGTCTTAATAATGCATTTTTAAAGCATAAATGATAATAATGATTATAAACACGTAAATCCTAAATACTACTACTCATCCCAAATGAGTGTTCTGTTAGATTTTCACTTTTATTCTAATAATTATATATATTGGACAATTATTTTAAAACAGAGGAAATATTACATCCCAAAATAATTTGATAGCTAACAGGAAGATTAAAAAAAGAAAAAGGTTGGGGGGTTGGGGTTGGGGTTGGGGTGTACTTGTTTATCTATGGGTGTCAAACTAGATAACATGTTTATTATGTTATACATATTAACTCTATAGAGGAACTAGCTTCCCAAGTGCTCCATTAAAATTTAGTGACGGTTGTAATGTGTCAGATGGGTGGTTTTTAAAAATATTATAGATATAATATATATTTGTTCTTATTACATTCCTTAAAAATTAAATTTTCATTATATCTACAATTCAATAACATGGTTGGATTTTTATTTCAAAATTATTTGTCACAGTTTAAAAGTTAGTAACGCCATCATCAGTTTTTCCTTTTAAATTACAAATAAGCTCCCTTCTTGATCATAATAATAAAAAAAAAAAAATGACTGACTGTATTCAAGACATTAAAATCTTTATACTAAAAAAATCAATTGTATTAAAAAAATACAAGATAAATAGATACACCAATTAAGAACAAATAATTTAAGATTTTATTACATAATGATTAAACAACCTGAAGGAGAAATAAAGTGTGGGAATTGGGATTTTAGTTGAGAGAAAAAAGATGGGTCTATGTAACCAAAAAGACTAACATTGTACTAATCTAGTTTTCTATATTTTAGAATATAATTTTTTTTGTCTTTTGATACTATTCATACATTTTAATCAGATTTAGTATCAAGTAAACATGAGTATTTTTGAAATGAATGTTTTTATTTTTGAATAGGACAAAGGAATAAATGGTCATTTGAAACATGGCCATTTATTTTCGAAATAAATGTTTTTATTAGTTTATTATATAATTTAAAATCTTAATCTTTTATTAATAGAATTATTTTAATATTTATATTAATATTTTATTTAATTTTGTTTCCAAAGACATCTAATTAAACACAGAAAAATACTTCACCATAATATTGAAAATATTAATTAAAAATCACAACTCAACAAAAAAATAGCCACATATGATTGGAAAATACAGTTAGTCTATGGACAAAGTGGCCCCTATGCCAAGAGAAGTAGTCTGTAACTGCATCAAGATGGATTTCGTGCTTAAAAAAAAAAAAAAAAAAAAAACGAGCTACAGTGTAGAGGGGAAAAATGCCTATGGTATAATGAGAAATTATTCAGTGCAGCAGTATCACGTAAGATTGTGCAGCCAGACTCAATAATAAAAGTAAAATAGTAATTTTGGGAGGGGAGATAATTTCTACGGGAGTTATACCACCAAAATAGGGGGTGGTAGTACTTGATGCACTAAAAACCATGATACAGCAGCTGTACCCAATAATTTTTATTTATTATTTTTTTTTTTGGTATAGCGCATGGAATTCACAATAATCTTTACCCAACAAAACAAGTTCATTTACCTTTACTACCATGTTAGATCGTTCAAGAGCTATAGGCCAAATTCCAAGAGTACAACTGTACAAGTAAATAAAAAACATGTTTCAAATATCCATCGACCAATTATAAATATATACATACTGGTTTATTCAGCTATCACAAATGGTTTTGCAACCAAAAATCAAAGTAGATATCATATTTCCTTTGATTATTTAAAAAGGGCATAATTAGTGTAGAATCAATTAAAACAATAAGGGCAATTATGTCATACTAAAAATAATTTTATGTTTTATGAAACTAATTTATTCCCTTAATGCATATTATGCAAAACTTGTACCGTTTTATTAATGAAAAGCTCTCTACTGTCCTTAATTTAAATTTTTCCAATAATAATATGGATATTGGTATTTGACAAAAAATACAAATATGGCATTTGTACTTAATTAAAATAATAACTACTTAGTGAATGAAACTTATTCTATCATTTTCTTTTTTTTTTTTATATTTTATGTCAAAGATAACAGTTCGTAATAATGTAGAAATATTTTTTGGCAGATTCATGAATTTTGTATGTGGCCTATTAGCTTGTTTTGAAGTTGTTCTCAACTTCTCATTACGTTCTCTGGCTAAATCCCTCTTATCATGTGTTGCTTTTAACTACACATCAATAACAATTAACTAAATAAGTTACTATAGATCCACGATATTCTTTTATTTTCTTTTCTTTTCTTCTTCCTTTTTTTCAAACTAGCGTGTGTCTCGCATTTTGCACGGCTTTGTCAATGTTAAAAATTTATATTTCAAAAGAATTGATTAGATAATGTAGTTACAAATATACCGTCCTTATTCTCTTAAAAAATGTAGTTACTAATATTTCTTAAAACTATAATATTTTTTGATTAATCAGTTTTAGATCAAAATGAGAGGTATTGATATTATTTATGAGAGGTATATTTGTAAGATCTGGTAAAAAATATTACAACAAAGATTTTCAAAAGTTGTATAATAAAAATTGTCACCACTAACTAATGTTATGTTTGGTTTAAAAATATATTTAAAAAATGCGTAAATTATGTCTAGATGCATATGGTCTATTTTTATAGACAAGTGGACTTTGGGGATTAGATGTAGTTTTAATAAAATATGAGACACAATTAACCGTCCTTGAAAATGTAAAATCGATAAACTTGAAAACTAAATAGCACACAAATAGAACTTTGAGGGCCAAAATGACAATAGGTTGAAAATTTAAACTCGTAAATGAAAGGACTTTTGAAATCAGGAGTTTCTCAGCAATTTTCAAAAATATTCATTTTCAAGCTCAATAAGGAATTTGTAATATCTGTAAAAATCTTATATACTCCCTCCGTCCAACAAAAATAGTTCAGTTTGAAACTGTACAACTTTTTTAATTTGGTCAACACACCAAATGTACAACTCATTTCATTTCCCTAACTTCCACTAATTCCCCTTCTAGTTATTTCTATAAAAGTTAATACATATGCATTTATTTTATAACTTAAATTTGATCAAAATTTTTATCTCAAAAAATATTGACAATGGATCTTGATGGAAAGATCTCGTTACATAGATTAATTTGATATATAACATATTTTTTAATTATTCATATATTAAAAGATATAATCATTTGAAAAAATAAGAAAAAACTAAAAAAAATGAAAATCAAAGGAAGTGGACCTTGTTTTTCATACGACTACTTTTTTGGATATTTAAGTCATTTCAATTCAATGAATTTTGACTTCTGTTAAACTGGACTATTTTTTTTAGGACATGATTTTTTATTGAATTGGATGATTTTTGTGGGACGGAGGGAGTAGTAAATAATTTATTAACTGTTTATAAAAAATTTTAACTGATTAATGATCAACTAATTAGTAAATGACACGTGTTAATTGAGATTTGATGGTCTAAATGAGCGACAAGTGTCGATTATCTTTCTTTCTTTTAATATATATGATAATTTGTAAAATTTATCGAGGGGCAGAGGGGGATAAAACCAACCGATTTGTTAGCGTCAGAGACAATCTGCAAAGAATTCCTCGTGTCTCCGTTGGGAGCTTTTGAAACGGTGGTCAAATCACAAAACCATGGTTACATCGTTAACAAAGTTCTTTGAAGATAGAGATGCAAAGAATTATAGAAACGTTTTCATTTTTTTTTTCCCTTAGTGAAAATCGAACTCTCGAACTTTCGACAATTTAACTATGTCTCATCCTTTATTTTTGCTCGAGTAAGAATCGAACTCTCAACCTTTCGATAATAACCATGCCCCATCCTAATCCTCTAACCACTCCACCTAACCCTCTCACCCTTATAAACGTTTTCAATTTGTTTGATCATCAAATGTATATATACGTCTAGCCAACAACAATCAGTGATCTAATTCTCTACCAGTCTTTTCATTTTTTCCTTTTATTTTTGGTTATTTCCATTTTCTCATAATGTAAGGATTTACAATGTACACGTAAAAGAATCTGAGATTTGCAAAATAATTTAATACTAAAAGAAAGTATTTAAATTAAATTCAATTGCAGTCACAATCTGCATCTTCGTTATTAATTGTGAAGAGTTACTTTGATATCGAAATGTACCAAAACCCCGTACTTAGTTTATATTTCTAAATTTTGATTCATTTTACCTTCTTTTGTTGTATCCTTCA